TATAATTTTATTAATTATATTTTTTAATATTATCTATAAGTTATTTTTTTAATATTACCTCACAAATGAAATATTAAATGAAAAATATTTTTAAAAATTTATATTTTTATTTAAAAAAATAAAATTATAAAGTATATTTAATGAAGGAAATTTTATTTAAGACCCGTTGATCATGCTTAATGAAAAAAAAAGTTCCTTAATTAAATTTTGAAAATTCACTTCAAACCAAAAGTGTTCGAGTAAAATAAAAGTATAAAGTAAAATTATCTCATTATTCTTTTGATCAAAAAAGTCCTATGCCTTCAATGGATAAAGAATATAGGAATAAAGAGTTCAAAGAATTGAATCAAAAAACAAAAACCAAATACTGGGAAAAAAATCAATACTAATCAGCACAAAATGCAAAAATTATTCATTATCTTTCATCCCCTCTAATTTTCTATTGAAGTTATTCATCTTCCTATATAAATTTATTCACTGGCTTACATAAATTGTTTGTATCATTATTGAATTTTAATTTTATTTCGAGTTGTAATTATGATAAAATAATTTTTTTCTTTCTTTGTATAAAGCTGTTTATTAACCTATAAAAATTGTTTGTGTCATTATGAAAAAGTGAGGCAAGCTGGAGGTAGTTTTTTTTTTAATGTTTTAAAAAACTTTCAATAGGAAGTAATGCAACACCCAAGTTGAAAGTTTTAAATTTTATTTTTTAATTTTTCAACTTTCAATGGTAGGTGATGTGTGATGCTTGCTATTAAAAGTTAAAAATTTTATTTATTTTTAATTTGTAAAATTTTTTAATATCAAGTTAAATTACACCTAATGTTAAAAAGGTTTTTCTACGACAGTTTAACTTTTGTAGGTCTGTGAGTGTTTTGGTGGACAAGAGCATTTTAAAATTTACATACCAACTTTATAAATAACAATCATTCGGAGTTGATGAATATGATGTTTATTAAGTTTCCCAGTAAATTAAAGGAACACTGCTTGTCTTTGAATCGAAGATGCATCTCGTCCATGTTTCATTCGTTAATTGCTAACTCCTCACCCCTCTGCTGCTTCTCCTCACTTGTTCTAGATCCTCCTGTGGATACATACATAACACTTTGTATTCTGAACGCATGCTGCTTGGAGTACAGGAATACTGAGGCCACAAAATCCACAAGCATTTCTTTAATTTGCTACTCGTACGTCAAACAAGTTATATTTATCTCTTGCCAGGAGGACGCCAATTTTCTTCAACTTTTATTATTATTTTTTATTTACCACATGTATTCTCCTATTATTAGAAACTATCATATTCCAGGAATTATCATGTATCAAATATATATAGTGGCATCTCATAATAAAAATTTAAATCTTGATTCATTGAAACTAGCATTTTTTTTTTCGTAGATCAAATTCCCGTCTGGTCCTTGAACTTTTAATTAATCATTGTCTCTTTTGATTTTTTGTTTGGGTTCGCACCGTGGGATGTTTCTGGCTGCGCGGAGAGAGTTCTTCATGTTGGGAGAGGCAACTAGCTAGCACGCGACATTTAGTAAAGTTGTACGGAACTCTGACCACCTTTTCGTCAATATTCTCATTCTCCATTGTCACAAAACAAAACTAGCTGCTTTTCTCGGTGAACCAAAATCGGTCTGGTTAAGGATTTAACCTAGCTATGTTATGAGTTCAAAATCCGTTATCAACATGATGACTTTGTTGATAAATGATTTATAAGTATTTATATAAACGCTATTTGAACGCATGTGTTGACTTGGCCTCGTTAGCATTCTTCGGAACCAGCTCACTTGAATGTTCTTGAACGAAAAAAAAAAATTACTTTTCTCTTTATAGTTGGTCTAGTTAATTAATTTAATGTTGTGATTGGGTGAGGTGAAAATCTGATCGATTCCCAAGAAATATATTACAATTTACAACTAGAGTGTTTTTTTTTAATGGATAAATTAAGACAGTAAGTTGGTTTATTTGAAACCAACACGCCAGGCTTTTGCTCTTAATAAATATATAATATTCGGGCCTTTTTTGTAACAAAGATTTCTTTGGATTTTTTTGTTAAATTATTTTTAATCTAACACCCTTTTAAAACTAGTGGAATCAACAGGTGTACAAAGTCATCCATGCCTGGCTGTATATAACTTAATTCATCCACTGAACAGGTTTTTGAGTTTTACACGAAAATCCGTGCATCTTCGTCTCTATTATTTTAAATTTAATTAGAGAAAAAGTTTATAGAAAAGTTACCCAAACGTACATGTATTTATTATGTTAGATCCTAATTAAACCAGCCAGAATATTCAGGGATCCTTAATTAATTAATTGGCCCTATAAGTTACACGGATAATCATAATTTTTTTTTTCCAAAAAAAATCCGTAACATACAAGAGTTGAAAATGGAACAATTATTCTATCCACTCTATTTTAATTATTGTTTAAGATTTTGACATAATTTTTTTAAAAAAAGACAAAAAAACTTCAACAATAACGATGCCATACCGTATCTTCTTTTTTTAATTCTTGGTCCAAAAAAAGAAAAGAAAAGAAAAACTTCTTTCTTAATTCTTACAAGATTTATAAAAAGAGAAAAGAGAGGACCACCCAACCGCATGTCGAGGGGCATGCATAAAAGACGTTAATTCTTTTAATTATCTAAATTAAAAATTATCTCTGTTAATTGTATATTTTAATTTGCACAACCAGCGTGAATAATTTTTAAAAAATAATAGCAGGTGATAGAGACATGCAAAAGTGATTAAAGTCTTGTATTTATAATAAAAGCAATTACTCGGTTCATTCTTATATTTAGAATGAAATGAAGCATTTTTTTTTTAAAAAAAGGAATAGACTCATCGCAAAGTGTATTTTTTAGTCTTGAGGGCAAAGGGTCAGTTTTTGACATTTATAATTCCACAAGATTGCTTTGGTGTATATTTTAAAACTCGATGTGGGCAGCTTGAAGAAAATTACGTTTCGTATGATTTAATTGTGCAGTTTTTTTTAATAAATATTATATGTGACGTATTGAATTATATCCCAGTCTTATAAATAATTCGTGCTTTATGAAAATGGACTTTGGTTTCTTGATAAATTTTTGCTAAGCACATAGGCTACGTAAACAAATACTCCCTTTGACTTTCAAACAAAAAAAAAAAATTACTCCCTTTGACAGTTTCACATGTAGGACACTTCTAAATATCTTATTGAAATTAAGAAGACATTGTCAAGTTATTAAATTGGTATAAAAATGAATTTTTTTAAAAAATTTACCACACTTAAAAGCATGAATTTTAAAATTTATTGAATTAAGAAAAATGACTACTCCCCCTGTCTTTAATAAAGGATAAATTTTGAAAACTTTTTTCAAAATTAGAGTAATTACTTTTTTTTTTCCAAATTTTACACCAAGTTCTAGTTTATTTACCATGATTTGAATTCTTAGACAATTATTTAATATGATTATTAATTGTAATGACAAAATTGAAAAAAATACATTTTAAGATAAAAATATCCTTTTCTTAATATATCTCTAGTTCTATTTATAAAGTAGAAAGAGAAGATTTTTTTATCCTATTTGCAAGTCATGTTTATTAAATTTTTATCACTAATTTTTTTTTTAATTTTACCTTCAATTAAATGCTGATGAGAGCTAGAACTTATATAATTAAAACATGCATATTTAATAGGAGGTGAAGTTAAAAATTTATTAAATTCTTAGATAAAGTTAACGAATGTTAAAAATTTTCTTAATTTTGATAAAACATGTTAAAATAACTTGTAAATAGAATAAAATGAATGCCAAATTGGTTAAGTTTGCTTTATATATTAAAGACAGGAAAGAATAATACTCTCTTTATCTCAAATTATAAGATACTTTTGAATGATTTTTTTATTTTAAAATATAAGACACTTTGAATATATTAAAGTTTCATTAAATACATCAATTTTAATATTACCTTTTTTTATAATTAATTTCTATCACTTATCTTTTTAATATATTAAATAATTTTAAAAAGTTTATATTTTTATTTTAAAAAGATAAAGTTGTTAAGTGTATTTGATGAGATTCATTGATATGTGAGATTTTATTTAAAAATATCTTATAATCTAGGATGAAAGGAGTATATAATATGGACTTTGATGGGATAAAAAAATATTACCATGTAATATGAATATCATCAACTTATTTTAGAAAGGGACTAGTATGCACAATTGGCCGGGTCGATCGAGAAAATTGGCTTATCTATTATTCCAATGAAACCTCAACTATCACCTGGAATCAATGCATGTGGGATAGTTCGTCGCATGGAATCAAATGAAGAGCTGACTTGGTCGTCTGGAATTAAACCGAGGGCCGATTGACTTGGTTCCTCTTTAATAAATTGTTAAATTTTAGTCATCCTCCTCGTCTCACATCTGGCGCGGAAACCGGTAGGGCCCGTGGTGCATTTCTCCGAATTATGCGCACATCCTGACCGTCCATCCAATCATCAATCAGATATGCGTTGCCACGTGTCACTGAAGAACACGCGATCCTAGCCGCATGTCTCACACAAATCCAGCCGTTCGTGCATGGAAGAAATTGCAGGGCTTGCAGGCAAAAGTTAATTTAAAAGCAGAATCAATAAAGCTGGAGAAGCATTTTCCCGGTATCCAATCAAGAATCAAAAAGCAGCATGATGAAGAGCCTGACTTATCCTCCATGTCTGCTTCTTCTCCTGCTTCTCTTCTGCTTCTTCTCCACTCTTGCTTCTCAATCCACTCCACCAGGTGAAGGTACATACTGACTGAACCCACACACATATATAAACGCTGTATTTTGAACATATATATAGTTGTATTTTATCATGAGTGAATCTTATTCTCTCTGTCTGCACACGCACACACGCGAATGTTTAGTGGAAGCTCTGAGAAAGATAGCTGAGAAACTGGGGAAGAAAGACTGGGACTTGGACGTAGATCCATGTACAACCAGTGGTGATCGTAACTGGACATCGAGCTATGACAACGCTGTCCTTTGCAACTGCTCTCTTGGTGATAGTTTCTGTCACGTTACACATATGTACGTCTCTCTAACTGGTCTGATCTTCTCCAATCTCCACTTTATTATTTATTCAGCAATTCGATTCTGTGATGAGATTCTTTGGATTTCTTTTCTGAGTTTTCTTGAAACTGTGTAATTTTCAGATCGATCTTTGGATTATTCTCATATGATACGCGGGAAAAAATTATTTATGGCAACCAAATTTAAAAAATTACTATGTTAAAAGATCAAGTTCTGGCATTAATTAACACTCGTACTTTGAGGAATTTGGAGTGTCCGTTCAAATATTTAACATTTTGAAGTTTTTAGAAATAAATAATTTCTGAATTTTGGTCCAAGTACATGCACTCAAATCATTTTTGCTTGTTGGTCCCAAAAAAAGAAAAAGGGTGATTCATGCTTCTCTCATCCCAACAAGTCAAAAATTTCATAATCTCGATTATTATTGCAAATATACCACCCCTTCTTTGATAGTTTGTTGATTGAATTATTGTCATGTAAAAATTAACAGTTAGTGACATCTCAGTATACCAGATTATGAGTATCCAGCGTCATAGAATCTTCTTATTTTTCAATCAGAAAAAGGATTAACATGCAATTAATCCTCGCGCACTTGCACAAAGATTTAGAATTTTTGTTAAGGCCCTATAAAGAGTTTCAAAGAATAAATAAATTGACAGTCAACTTAACAAATAGTAAATAAAGAATAAAATAATGATACGGACATTTTCCATTAGCGTAGTTACAATGATTTATCATTAGATTTTGTTTGCTTACACTTAACACATATAATTTATAAACCACAAATAATTTGGCTTGTTTTTCAAATATTATGAGTTTATTGAATTTAATTTGAATAATTTATGTTTAATGATTTATCATTAGATTTTGTTTGCCTACACTTAGCACATATAATTTATAAACCACAATAATTTGACTTGTTTTTCAAATATTATGAGTTTATTGAATTTAATTCGAATAATTTATGTTTAATATTTTATAAAATTATTATTAACATATTAAATCATAAAAATAAAAATTCACATTATTGAAGCTCGATATCAACATTTTAAAATTATAATGAAAGAAATAATAGGAAAAAATATTGAAAAATAATAATAAAATTCATCTAAAATATATAAATGATAATTTAATCCCTCAAAATATCATAATTTTCTTAAAATATTTAAAATTTTTTTATCATTAATAAATTTATATAAATTATTAAATTATTTTTGTTAAAAATAAATTATTTATAATTTTTTTATATTCATAATAAATAAATTATTATCATTTTTTTAAAAAAATATTTTATAATTATCCCAAATTTTATTATTTAACCATCTTCATCTTCATGGCGCGGAATAAACGTGCAGTCGGCTGAAATCACAGAGTCTCCCGGGGACTCTCCCGCCAGAACTGGTGAGGCTACCTCACCTCACAGAGATGTATGTTTCTCTAAAACTTGATTTCACATTTAGGGATTGCACCATATGAAATTTGCATTTAGGCCATGGCACTTATCTCGTCAATTGATTTCCATACTCACTCTACTTCGTTCTCCTTTGTGCGTACAGTGACCTCACTCGCAATTACCTTAACGGTACAATCCCTCCAGAATGGGGCTCCATGCAACTTTCCATAATGTACTTTTCCCCCTCTCTCGTTTTTATTTTGAGTATAGAGAATATGATTCTGGTTTCGTCTTATTAACATGACTCTGATGACGCGTTTTTCTTAATCACGGTAGTTCGGTTTTTGGAAATCGTTTGACGGGTACAATCCCACCAGAGCTAGGAAACATTACCACTCTCCGGAGTTTGTGAGTGCTGTCAATTAATCCCGGCAAAAATCGTTGCCATTCTTATTTCATGAAACTTTCTGGTGGAACTAAACTTTACCTGAAATGGATAGGGATCTGGAAATCAGTTCTCTGGAAATCTTCCTCCGGAGCTTGGAAATCTTACCCAGATTGAAAGATTGTAAGCCATTGTTTTGCCATTTATAATCACTGTTAATTTCTTTTTTGGGGGGGGGGGTTCATTACTTCGATTTCTTTCTTCTTTGCAATCTTCAAATTTAATCATATACTCTTATGTCAATATGCTCATTGACTGTCTATATGCTTTGAAATTTGAATTCCATTTGCTTACATTCATAATCTGTCGCGTTGTTGTCGACCTAGGCTGCTTAACTCCAATAATTTTACTGGAGAGTTACCTACCACATTAGCCAATCTCACTGCATTGCGGGAGTTGTAAGCTTTATTCTCCTGATGAATCAATAAACGATATATGTTGTTATTTTCAGTTCAAAAGTCTAAACTAACAGTTGCTTTTCCTTGCAACGCACATGACGCAGTGGAATTTGCGACAATCAATTTTCTGGAAAGATACCGGATTTTATTCAGAACTGGAAGAGTCTCGAGAGAATGTTAGAAACTTCCTCCGCCTCTTTTTTCTCATGAACTCTAATTGCTTTCAACTCTTGAATGGCACCTTTTTAATATGAATCAACGGTTCTTTTTTTTTTTTTGGCAGGAGGATTCAAGGGAGTGGTTTAAGCGGCCCAATTCCTTCTGCAATTTCACTTCTAGAAAATCTAACTGAATTGTAAGTATGATATGATGATTTGCATTGTAAAGGATCAGCTTTGAAAGCTAACTTGCCTTTATGTTTATCCATGACTGAAAATGATGCGCAGGATAATTAGTGATCTGAATGGATCTGAATATTCGGCGCCTTTGCCAGAACTTGGTAAAATAAGGAAGTTGGAAAGACTGTGAGTTAAATTGTTTTAATTAATATTTTTCAACTCTGCTTTTTGGCCAAAAAAAAAAAAATCTGCTCCACTTTTTCTACCATTGTCTCACTAATACAATTACTTATGGATATAGAAAATAAACATGAGGTGCTGATGCCTCTTCGCTGACAATCTGATTGTTGAACAGGATATTGAGGAATTGCAATATTAATGGAACTATACCTGAATATCTTGGGAACATGACAGCTATAAAAACTATGTAAGTGCTCATTTATTTCTTTATAAAACAATATCCCCCGTGCGAAAAGGGGCATTCAAGCTGGGGGAAAACATGATGCGAAGATCAAGAGTATGCAGTAGTAACTTTGTCTTGATTAATATAGTGACATCTTTATTTTACGTTCCTTTTCTTTTGTGTTTCTCAAGACATTCTGGGCGTATATATGTGTGTGTGTGTTTTTTTTTGCAGAGACCTCAGCTTCAACAAATTGAGCGGACATGTTCCAAACAGCTTTGCAAACCTGAAGAGAGAATACATGTAATGAATCTTTTTTCCCCCCGGCCAATGCCAGCTTCTTTGCATCTAAGGCTCAAATTTTCAGTTTCATTTTAGATCCTTCAAGAGCAAAATCAAATTTAGCTAATGAACACCACACTAGGGTTGACATTTTGATGCTTCTCTATAGGAATGACTACTACAAACATGTCAAATGCTAGGGCTATGCAAGTGCCCGATGGCTTGGCCTTGCACTAACCATTCAGGTTCATTGGGTGGGCATCGAGTAAGAGTCAGTCCATGCCTTGTCTTACCCAAGCCCAACAAATGTATTTTTTATTTAAATCTTTTCATAAAAATAATTGTTTTATAATATTATATTTCTTGATATAGTTAACGTAATATCTTATTTTTATGATAATCATTAATATTTTTTATGATTTTAGTTTTTTAATCATTTTAAAAATTTTAAAGTAGTTTTTAAACTTAGTAATATATATAAATGAATAATTTTTAAGCATATATAATTTTAAAAACTGTTATTTTACATCTTAATGTTAATTTTATATAAAGTATATTTTAAATGAGGATAATTATATTTTTGTCAATAAATAATTTTTTTATTTTTAACTTTTTTTAAAAATATTTTTTTAAGTTTGGCCAAACTCGGTTCAAATTAATAGGCACCAAGTTAGCATGAAGTGCACATTGGGCTGGGCAATGGGATGTGCTCATGTCCGGCTTGACTTGGCCCATGTGCACCCCATCAAATGCTGTTTCTGATGTGAATTTTAACTAATCATACGTGAGCCTAGCTTTTCTTCATGCGTGATGGTCTTAGGCTGCCGTGGCTCGTACAAAGTGATCTACTTCATGTGAACTGGCCAGAATCGTCACATCTGATGAAAAGCCAAACCCATTCTATTCATTTATACATACCTCTTCAAAGTACTAATATTTTTTTTTTACCCTGTCAGGGGATCAGGCCATGCTTTTTGAAGGGGAGAAAGAAAAAGGAAATATAAGAATTGAATAGAAACTAATATTTTGCAGGAGATAAAGAGAAAAAACATGCTCTACCTTTAGATTTTTGGTTCTTTGTCATTGTCTAAGTTAAACCTTTTGTTCAGTCATACCGGTTTAGTAAATAAAAGAAACCTTGGTAACAATGTGAATAAGTCAAATTCTTTGTACAAATTGATTTTTTTAAAAAAAGGCTTTATAGAAGGATCTTTTTCCTTTTGCTGATCCATTTCTTTTTTTTTTTTTGCCAGTATCCATTGCTAATTAATTAGTTCTACATATCATTTTCTGTTTTTTTCCCCCCGATATTCTACATATCAATTTCTTGAAATTCTTTTTGAATAGATTTTTGACAGAAAACCTTCTCGATGGACCAATACCTCCATGGATAGGTAACGCGCCGGAAACAATTGATATGTGAGTTCTCTTTCCATGGTTCACATGTTGGGGTCTTAAATTCAATAATTCATATCTTATCCGGTCAACATAGTAGAAAATGTCCTTTTTGGGTTTCTGATGGAGTATCCAGAATAATCAGTAGTAGTATTATTTACTTAGAAAGAAGAGTTATTTTCTTCCTAAAATATATGAAAATGGGAATCCATGCCCTGGGTGATTACAGAAAGAAACGATAATGACAAAGGAAGGGGTAACAGAGAGATTATTACGTGGTCTTGGATTATCAAGTTATATGAATTTTGTCCAGTAAAATTATCCTACTGTGTCCCACATGTGTATCCAACAATCTTTTTTCATAAATTCTTCAAAATCCATCTGCCTCTTCATTTGCCCCTTTCACCTTTCTCATCCACTGTTGCTATTTCTTTCCTAAGTGCTACACTCTTCATCTTCTCCACCCAGCGACCATGGTGAGAGGTTCACCACTGGTATGCCGTATGCACCGACGATTCGTTGACAGACGAGTTGAGGGTCAAACAGCTTCGCCGCTGTCAAAGGTCGCTCCGTCTTTCATTCCAACGACACGTTGTTTGATACTCCCCCGTCCCTAACAGATTATGTAATTTATACAAATTAAATAATTTAGTTAAATTAATAATTGCTAAAGTATATATTTCCTTTAACTTTACACACGATTTCATTTTAATTCTATAACTTTATAAAAATATCATTTTAGTTGTTTATTCTCAACACTGTTAATTTAATCTTAATAAATTTTTACATTAAACTTTTAAATATTAACAAAATATTTTTAAATGTTGACATATTAAATTTATTTTTTTAAAAATATTAATGATTGATACAAAAAATAATCATTTAAAAATAATGATATTAGGGTTAAAGGATTAAAAAGATAGTAATTTATAAAATTAAGGGATTAAATTAATATATTATATAAAGTTAGAGGATTAAAAATATACTTTAACCATTAATTATTTATGCAAAAATGTGTGTTAGTTTTTTTTTTTTTAAATACATGACCATGGAAACTGTATAGTAGAATGGAAATATAAGGCTATATCAAAGTAGATTCCATAATTTGGGGGTTAGGCTTATTCAGATTGAGATTAAAATATCTTACTATATAAACAAGCCTATAGCCAAAACCAGACCTAATTACTCATGCTTTTGGGCTTATTCAGGTTGGCCAAATATCTGAATTGTTAGATATTATTTCATCTCATTTTTTAATTTTTATCTAATTTCAATTTTTATTTTTTAAAAATTTAATATTTTCAATTTTAAAATTATTTTATTAATAATAAAAAAATTAATTTTTTGGGCTAAGTCCATTTAGGTTTGGGCTTAGCTCTAATTTTTTTGAGTTTATTAAGACTGCTTGAATAAGTTCAAAGTAAAGAAAATCTTTCAAGTTTTCAAGTTTGATTTTAAAATATTTTCAATTTATTTGGATTAATCTAAATTATTGCCTCTATATCCAAGATTCAAAGTACATAAGAATCTGACATCTATTGGGTGGCTTACAAAAGATCATTAAGTCAAGATAGTGGCTTGATGCCTAGTGAGTCAGAAGATTAGTGTACTTTTTTGCTTCCTTAAATATATATAGTTAATAGTAAATGTCTAATATCTCACAACAGGGATGATTTTGAGAGAAGTTATGTTGGATTAATTGATAAGGCTTATAGGGAGTTTGTGTGTTAGTTTTTTTTTTTTTTAAATACTCCTTTTAATCATTTGATTTGAAGTGTTATCAATATGGTGCATACCATGCAAGAATATGCTGCTTGGGAAAAAATAAAAAATATGAGAGATAAAGATGATTGAAGATAAAGTAAATGTACAAATTTAATTATGTATTATTTTTTAAGAATATCTGATAATCTAAAATATCAGTATCTTGTAGCTCATAATGATTAGGAATAAAAAAAAAATTTAACTAACTCTTATATTTAAGATCGGAGGGAGTAAAGTTTTTCTATTTTTTGGATAACGAGAAAGTAAGATTTTGTTTTTTTCTATCCAACTGTCAGGCGGGTGTAAATTTTAGTACTTTCATGGGAAAAATAAAAAGGATAATAAAAAAATGTGATTCAACAGAACAGAGATTTGTTTTCGGATGAACAATAAAAATATTTTTGTAACATTAGTAAAATAATAATTTTAATTTTCTTGATGTATGAAAATAGTTGATTTTAATAATATAGCATATTATAATGTTGTGGGCGGATTATATTTTAAAATACTCAATTTTATTTTTCAATTTAGAACATAGTGTATCATATAATTAATATGAATAAAAAATAAAAATAAAACTAAAAATAAAAAGTATTTTAAGCATTTTTTTTTTTGGTCACCCACATGTATTATCCTATTAGAGATAGTCCTATTTGAGGCATTATCAAGCATTAAATGTGAACACTTCTTCTAACAAGAATTTGAACCTTAACTTGTCACATTATGAAAGATTAGTTTTTCTCACTACATCTAACTTCTATTAGTTATTTTAGGCATTCCATTTATTGTTTTAGAGCTCGCCGAATCCTTGTCATTATTAGAATCACCAGGGATGGAGCTAGCTCCAAAGAGTGTCTATCATCTTGTTGAGGTTGGACTCATGACATAATGTATCTTTTCTACCCTTTCAGCAAGTAGTTTATTTCTTGGTGTAGCTCCACATGTTCATTGGATTCTTCCACTGTTACCTTTTCTCCCTTGAATACTGTTGTTATCTAAGTTTTCTTTTTTGATAAAAACACAAATTTAGTTAACAACTATTTTTTAAAAATAACTGAATAACCTATATTATGGAGTGGTGTAAAATAAATTATCCACTATCAAAATCAATATATTCTTGTCATCCATTTCTTACTAATGTCCGCTTATTTTTAATAGTATAGGACTCACACACACTCTCTCTCACTGGTGCATCATCTAATAGTATGAGTTATCCAATTGTCTGAAAAAAATAATTGATGGTTAAATGTGCACATCTATCCTTTTGATTCTTTATATATTGAAAAAAAAAAAAAATAAGGACGGAGCCTGCTCTCAACCTTGTTGGTGGCGAACTTGCAATCGCATTTTTGTCTTCAAATTTGTGGGCATGCAGCATTGATTGGAATGTATTGTGGGCCTGTGACTTTAGCAATAATTGTTTGTGGTAAGGGTGCTCAAAGTATTGGTTCATTTTGGTTTTAAGGAAAAATCAGGCTGAACCAAACCAATTAATTTACTATAATTTAAAATTTATTTTTTTAATTAGTTTGGTTTAATTTTCAAGCAGTTTGATTTAGTTTGATTTAAGTTTGAATCAAGTTTAACCTTTTTTAATGAGATATTTTTCATAATTACTAATATATTTATGTTTACTGATAATTTTTAACTATTAATTATTATTTACAATGAAAAAGTCTATTGAGCACAAAAGAATATTTTTTAACAATTAATTAACATATTTAACAATTAAAAATCAAGTTATTATACTTGATTATAAAATTAAAAAAATTATCTTAAACAATTATAAATAATATTTAGCTAATTATAACTTATTTTTACTAATGATTTACAAATAAATAAATTTGGAAAAGGGAATTTTTGTTGATAAATTTATAAAAAATATGTATAATAAATATAGCAAGACTTAATTCAGTTTGGTTCAAATTTTCAAAAACAAAAATTTAAACTAAACTGAACCAATTAATTTTGCTAAAAGAAACACCAAATCAAACCTTATCTATAGTTGATTTTGATCGGTTCATATTAGTTTGGATTAGTTTTAAACACTCTTAGTTTGTGGGCTTTATGATTTTGGAGGGAGGGGGGAAGGAGCATGCTAAAAATACTCTTATTTACTATTAATTGAAATTTTTTCTAAACTCTTACTCTGATCTAGGTCGTTATTTCACTCCATTCTATCTTTTTTTTAAATTGTCTATTTTTTTGAGTTTCAAGAGGGACGTAAATGAACTACTTGTTTCAGCTCCTTTCTCATTCTATATTATTTTGACCTATGGAACAATTTACCGTTCCTTTGTACCATTCAGTCGATGGATGCAGTTTTCTTCCTTTGGTAGTAGACGGGCTGCTCACCTGGCGAGCAATACAGGAAATCATTTTGGAACTTTTCTGCTCATGCATGCATACTTCTTCATTGAATTACACTCGTGAATATTAACGTTGATATTCTTAGGCTTCCTTAGGGTTGCCTGCTGACTCTTTGTTGTTTCTTCTACGATTCTGAAACGTATGCTGTATCTCTGTTACTTGTACATAGAGATCTTTCATACAATAATTTCAGCGTCGATAGCTCAGGGCAGCAGGCATGTTCAAAAGAAAATGTGTAAGAGATCTTGCATATATATGCATTTGTTATTAGGAGAATGATAATAAAATTCCATAACAAGAAATTTATTATAACAATGGAGTCCCCGATAATTTTTTGAGAAATAATTTGTAAATATTTATTCAAACATTTGCAAACAAAGTCTCTAACAAGAGTTATATTTAAAATTTAAATACCATTATTTATAATTAAAACTCTTGAATTTATTACTGTCTGAATTAATATTTATAATTAATTTTTTTAAAAATTTTGTTGGGGACGTAATTGTTATAAATTTATTGTTCTAGGACTTTAGTGTCATTCTTATTTCATTATCAACTCCAAAAACCTCTTTGATCCTTAACAATCCCTTTATGCCGTAGGAACATTTTTACAAACTCGTCAACAGGCGACTTGTAAGTTTTACACGCTACATGTAAATTATTTTCATTACATATATGTATCTTAAACCTTATCCCTCCTACGATGGGATTTTGTTGACTGGTTTTGCCCATTTTACCTTTCCCCAGGGGAAAGCCTGTGTGCTCGAGAAGCAGCAGCTGTTCTAGAAGTAAGTCTCCTTATAATTTGTTTTTCGTCACACTTTAAATCATGATATCTGACTATTGCTTTAGCATCTGGAATATGGATTTTGAAGGGACAAGGAGGAAAATTTCTACCACAGACTTCATACCATGCTTGTATATTAAGATATTGTTCCACCACTTATTAGTTATAATCTCTCCGATCATATATACAAGTTACTTTTAATTACCTTGCTGAAATTAATGTGAAATAGTTAAATGATTGATATTATTTGGAAAAGAAAGAAATTTTCTAGTTTACCCTCACTAAATTTATCATCTTTAAAAATATTTTCTTTCTCATATGCAACATTGTAACCTATTAATCTACTAAAAAAAAATTGTGAAAGAGCAAAATTGAAAAAAAAAAAGTTAACTATCTATCTTTTTTTTAATGTAAAGTGACTTGTATAAATGATCATTAATTATTTTTTTGGGGTGAATGATCATTAATTATTTTATAATGACCTATATATAGAATGCGAGGCAGTATTATTAGTTTATTTAATTTGGAGGAGCCTCTTTTCCATCATCATTATTTTTTTAATGCAAGTTTCTTTCTTTCTTTTTTTTTCCTGGCCAACTTTTAATGCAAGTTTCTTACTTTACTTCGTTCATTTCAACGGTTTCCCACCTTATTTTACTTCTTCCAGGATGGCGCTCTCTCTATATAAACTGTGGTGGAACCGTGGCAACAGTCAGTGGAAATAAAGCATATGAAGATGATTCAAATAAAGCTGGACCGGCTAGATTCCTCCAGCCGGGTGAAAACTGGGCTCTTAGCACCACTGGTTATTACTTGGATAGTACAGCTAATTCAAACAAGCTTGTATATTCAAATGGGTCGAGGCTTTCTAAGATCGATGCTCAGCTGTATATGAATGCACGCGTTTCTCCCATTTCTTTGACTTATTATGGGTTTTGCCTAGAAAATGGAAACTACAGAGTAAACCTCCATTTTGCAGAGATAGTGTTCACTGACGATCAAACATATGGCAGCCTTGGAAGACGTATATTCGACGTCTACATTCAGGTACGTGCCAGCATCATTTTTCTTCCTTTAAGGAGCACATCAAACCATAAGCATTAGCCCAAGTGTTGACCCTTTCTTGTAGGCATAACATGCTAAGCTGACTTAGACTGATATCGACACTTTGATATGCTTCAGAATCATAACTATGCAACCATTAAGAATTTATTTGTTCATTCGGATGGAAATCCTCTTTTTTCCATACGGACTCAAGTTTTCTCACACCCGATATTCATAATATCACTTAGCAGGGATTGTTTTCCCAGTATTTTTGACTTTCGGTATAAGATTATTGCTAGAATACTTCCAATAGTCCCAAAACGTTTAAAACTTGTAGCGGTTGTAGCCATCATGAAGCGTTAAGGTTTTGGCTGAAATCGTGCAGGGAAAGTTGGTGCTAAAGAATTTCAATATTGCTGAAGAAGCAGGAGGATTTGGGAAGGCAATAACAAGGCCATTCCCTACTGTTGTCACTGGTAATACCTTGGAGATTAGATTATATTGGGCTGGAAAAGGGACAACTGCCATCCCATTTAAATCAGTATATGGTCCTCTTATATCAGCTATAACAGTGGATTCTGGTGGGTTGTGTACTAATTTTAAATTTTCTGCCATCATTTAGATGCTATCACAATCATCCAATACCTAAAACTGCTTCGTTAAAATCGAAAAGACTTTGGAGAAAATGGAATATCTCCAGGGGCTGTTGCAGGAATTGTTGCTGCAGGAGTAGTTATTGTGATCCTGGTATTTGGTGTACTTTGGTGGAGAGGCTGTATAGGACCAAGAAGTCCGCTAGCCAAAGGTAATTTCAAAGCAACTTCTGCTTGGAATTGAGCTTTTGTAATTTCAGCAGTATGAATTTAGGTGTCTGACTTATTTTAAGATTGCAATTATTTCACCTTATGCATCATCTTGCCCTGGTAGTGGCTCAAAATTTGATGAAAATTCTAGTTCCCCGATCTTTGTTTGCTTTTATTAGCAGATCTTAAGGGCTTGGATCTTAAAACTGGCATATTCACCTTGAGGGATATCAAAGCAGCAACCAACAACTTCAATGCAGCTAATAAGATTGGAGAAGGAGGGTTTGGTTCTGTTTATAAGGTTGTACACATCAGTACACGTTCTATTAAATTGCATGCTTGACCAATTTCTTTGCATTTCTTGCTTATTTGAAAATCCATTTTAACTTCCCTGTAAATTTTATATCATATCCAAAATTGTAGGGCATTCTCCCAAATGGCACAATGATCGCAGTTAAGCAGCTATCTGCTAAATCAAGACAAGGGAATCGTGAATTTATAAATGAAATAGGCATGATTTCTGCATTGCAACACCCCTGTCTTGTAAAGCTTTATGGCTGTTGTGTTGATGGTGATCAATTATTGTTAATATATGAGTTCATGGATAACAATAGCCTCGCTCGTGCTCTATTTGGTAAGTTATTTAACCAATTTTTTTTTTTTTGCATGTTTTATAAAAATCCAATATCATATAACATGTATACTTTGATTATATGACAAGGTAGTCTAATTTCTGTCACATTCATAAATGAAGGCCCAGAAGAATTTCAGTTAAAAATGGATTGGCCAACAAGGCACAAGATTTGTGTTGGTATTGCTAGAGGTTTGGCTTACATTCATGAAGAATCAAGATTGAAGATCGTCCATAGAGACATCAAGGCTACTAATGTGTTGCTTGATAAAGATCTCAATCCCAAAATATCTGATTTTGGTTTAGCAAAGCTTGTTGAAGAGGATGATACACATATAAGCACTCGAATTGCTGGCACTTAGTGAGTTCCTACCTTTAAACTTCTAGTTTTTGTAATTTTATTGGTGAATATATTGTCCGTATGGTTGAGCTGTGACGAATTCTCTTGGCATATCACACTCTAATTTTTCAATCTATTACGGACTAAAAGATACATTTGACTTTGTAATTTTTAATGTCACTAATTGAATGTCATGGATGTATTTTTTTTTTTATATATAGTGGATATATGGCACCTGAATATGCAATGCATGGTTATTTAACCGACAAAGCAGATATCTATAGTTTTGGAATTGTTGCTTTAGAAATTGTCAGTGGGAAGAGTAACACCATTCACCTAGCAAGGGAGGAAGCATTCTATCTTCTTGACTGGGTAAATTATTCTCAACCTCTCCAGTAATCATGCCAGTTTTATTTTCCATAACAATGTCTACAAGGGGGCTATTTGTTGGGTGTATGACTTTTTTCATTTGGTGGCACAAAGACCCTTTGAAAGCCATTTCACGTTGAGCACAACATCGAGTAAATTGCAGTAATTTCCAACTAAGATATTGAAACATTTTTTATCAGTTCTTTTCTTGTTTCAGTAAAAGTTTAACCAATGTCTTACAATGAGATCTTTCAATATATGCTTGTTACTATGGTTTTGATTGCTTCCTTTCTGAGCTATACCAGAAAAGGCTTTCAGTTATTCCCTGCAATTTTTCATTCTTTTCAACTACATGGAATCAATCGTCAGTTTTGTATTTTAATTGGAGCAGGCACGTCTCTTGAAACAAAAAGGAAAATTAATGGAGTTAGTTGATCGAAGGTTGGGATCAGACCTTGACAAAGAGGGGGCAATGATGATGATTCAAGTGGGTCTCCTGTGCACCAATGTCAGCCCAGCGCACAGGCCTACCATGTCTACAGTGGTAAGCATTCTTGAAGGCAAAAGTGTAGTTGAGGAGATAGTTACAGAGTCAAGTGATGTATTGGATGAGAAGAAGTTGGAGATGATGAGGATGTATTACAATGAGATAGAAGAAAATAGGATGACTGAGATTCAAGGGCCAAGTACATCATCAGCGGACGAGCCATTTGCTTCATCAACATCAGCAACAGATCTCTATCCTCTACATTTGGACTCCTCTTACTGGGATAAAAGGTCCTAGAGAATCTTAATTATTATCTTTAATTTCTTTCTTATATAATTTCTCTTTAAAATTTAATTAATAAATATATTTGTAAAATAAATTTAATGTTAATCGACTTTTTCAAGGTGTTTTACATTTTAGATGAGAGGTAGTATTTCTAAAATTAACGCTGATTTATTTATTTATTATTATTATTACTTGCATGAAAGATCTGTTGAAAGGGGAATTATGACAATCGACAAAGTGCTCATATCTTGGGGTCTAGTAATTAATCATCAGTAGCGCAAAGATGAGATAAGGTTGACCAAGTCTCCCCTAAAGCAATTAGACAGCGACCAGACTGCCCAGCAGTGACATGCATTTCCATACTCGCACGGTTGTACCCGCCATTGGCATTACATGACTGGAGGGAGCAATTTTAACGGCAAATTGAATCTTATGCTAAAAAAAAAAAAATATTTATTCAATTACTGTGCTTTTAAAAATATTTCCTTACATACTATAAATTTAAAATTAGTTTCATATCAAATTAAATTTTAATTTTTTTAATCTTGCAGTACAAAACTTGGCCCATGCTAAATCGAGTTCGGTGCTTGTATATATAAAAAAAAAAAAAGAGCAAAATGCAGGCAGCAGGCTTAGGCTATTCTGCGCTCCACTCCCTCTATCCCTGCACGCTTTCGAATGATAAACATCAATGTGTGGTGAGTTGCCTTTTTCGCTTAAGCATATGTTTTTTCTTTCTTTTTATTTTTTGGCAAAGGAGGACCCAACAATGTAATTGAATATATATATATATATATATAATATATAATATATTATGTATGGAAAAATAATATATTATTTTTTAATTATAATTATAATATTGTTAAAAAATATTTTTTAATTATAATTATAATAATTATAATATATTACTTTAAAAAATTACTCCCTCCATTTAAAAATATAAAATATTTTTGAGAAGTTAAATGTTAAAAAATATAAAGTATTTATAGTTTTTCGAGGTGTAATCATTACTTTTTTTTTATCAAAAGTTTCCTTATTAATAAATGACTTTATATTTATTGTAAGGTGTTCAATAAGAGTAAATATGAAAAGATAGGGTTAGTTTGAAAATAAATAATTACTTTATTAGAGGATGAGATTCTGTTAAAAATGTCTTATATTTTTGAACGGAGGGAGTATAAGAATTATAAAATAACAACATAATTAGTAACAGCATGAAATTACATAAATTTAAGTCATAATATATAATTTTAGGGTTAGAATGTTAAAGATCATTTCTTCCTTCAATGTTTTTCTAACAACGTCCTATAGGGTGAGGCAATATCATTCTTAAATACTCTATTCGTTAAAAAAATATAAGGTATTTTTAATCTTTGAAAGTGTAATCATTATCTTTTATCAATAGTATCCTTATTGAATAAGTTACTTTATATTTATTTTAGAGTGAATACTTTATTAAATAAGGACAAATATAAAAAGAGAATGTTAGTTTAAAGATGAGTAATTACTTTATTAGAAAGTGAGATTTGATTGAAAAAAAATTGGACTCCTAAAATGAATGTAAAATGATTTATTCAATGATGATACTTTTAATAAAAAAACAATGATTACACTTTGAAAGAGTAAAAATACCTTACATTTTTAATAGATAGAGTATTTAAAAATGATATTGTCCCATCTTATAGGATGTTGCCAGAAAAACATTGAAGGGAGAAATGATTTTTAACAATCTAACCCTAAAATTATATATTATGATTTAAATTTATGTAATTTTATGTTGTTACTGATTATGTAGTTATTTCATAATTTTTATAATTTTTTGAAGTATATAATTATTATAATTATAATTAAAAAATAGTATATTATTTTTTGATACATAATATATTATTTATATTATATATCTATTCAATTATATTGTTGGGTCTTCTTTTGCCAGGAAAAAAAAAAAGGAAAGAAAAACATATGTTAAAAGCAAAAGAGGCCACCCACCATGTATTGATGTTTATTATCGGGGAACGTGCAGATATAGAGGAAGTGGGTACAAAGTATCTTGAGCCTACATTTTGCCTTTTTTTTTTTTTTTTAATATATATATACACAAGTACACAACTCGGGCTAATGTAGCCCAAGTTCTATAGTGCAAAATCTAAAAAAAAATTGAAACTTGGTTAATATGAACCGAGTTCTAACTATATAATATATAGGGGAATATTGTTAGAAGTGTAATATTTGAGTAAATAATTTTATTTTTTTTTAGCATAAGGGTCAATTTGCCAATTTTAACCAAACTCTCAAACTCATCCATTTCTGTACGATCAGTGTCGGTGCTAGACTGCTAGCTACTGTTGATCATATTCGTGTCTCACGCGGATGACCCATGATACTGTCACCAGCTATTAATACAAGGTAAATTTTAAAAAGTTTTTTATTCTTAATACAGGATAAAGATGGTTTTTTTAATTTTTTTTCTTATTTATTTATTATTATTTGAATTACTAGAAAATAATTTATTATAATTATTAATTATAAATACTAGCAAAATTAAAAATTAATTTATTTTTTAATAATTTTAAAACTATAATTATCATTTCTTAATAAGCATAAAGTCAATTAAATTTACTTTATTTTCAAGACCAGGGAAGTAAATACATTTTAAAAAAGGTTTCTTATTTTTCTATATCAACATTGAATGGAGTTAAAAGGAGAAAAATAAAATAAATATTTCACTCGTCTCTGTTTACTTGTGTCGATTTGCATATCTATTTTGCTTATAAGTACATCCTTGTTCTAAATTTCAAGGTATAATTATTGTCCTCACAATTTAAAAATATAAAATATTTTTAATTAAATTTTATTTTTTTTAAAAAATAATTATTTATTTTTTAACTAATCCTCTCTTTTTATATTTATCTTTGTTAAACACCCTACAATAAATATAAAGTTATTATCAATAGGGACACTTTAAAAAAAAAATTAATGATTATACTTTAAAAGATTAAAAACAAAAATGTATTACATTTTTAAATATCCAACTTTTCAAAAAATGCCTTACATTTTTTAATGGAGGAAGTATTTGTTTTTAATAATCTTGCTACTATTGTGAGAATTTTATTTATAAATTATCTGTAAATATTTTTATAAGTAAATTTTAACTAATTAACTTATTTAAAACATGATAATTTTTCTTATAATGAAAAAGTGCAGGGAGTAGAGTGAAGTTTCCTCATCCCATGCTCATCACAGTGATGAGCATAGGATGCTCAGCAGGGATACGGCTCATTTGAGTCCTTGATTTCTTCTTCAATTAATCTCTACCATTCATTTTAAATATATTTTTTAATATAAAAATATAAAAATTTTAATATTAAATTTGAATTGTCTTCGATACTCAATAGATATTAGTACAATATTACCTATCACTATTGATAAAATCTAGACCTTTCAAATTTAGAACTTATTATTTTTATTTTATATTTATCAAAATAAAAATGTATAAAAATTATAAAATGTTTTAATAAGTATGTTTATAATTAATCATCTGGCCAATTCATATTTAGTTAGGAATATCTAATTTAATATTAAATTTTTTTAAAATTTTATAAATTAACTATTCAAATGCACTTTAAACAAGACAAGCAAAATCTAAATAATTTAATTTAATATTAATTTTTTATAATTTTTATAAATTAACTATATAAATGTATTTTGAATAGTATAAATTTAATGTTAAAATTTTTATATTTTTTATAAATTTTTTATTTTAATAATATAATATTAAAATATTAAAAATAAATTTAAAATAAACAGGAGAGATCAATTTAAAATAGAGAAAAACTTATATACTTAAAACGTTTATAGATTATTTGTTCTATAATAAATAATTATTATTAATTAAATTAATACATTAAAATTCACATGTCATAATTTAATTTAATATAAATATATTAAATATATAAATTTAAATATGTATAGAAGTCTTGCCCTTTAAAATAAAATCAAGGATGAGTAACGCGCATGATGAGCTAGCACCAACAATCGAATTGTCACTCTTGTCGGTCCTTTCTCATCTTTATCTCTTTGTTTTAAGCTTCTGGATCCATCCCTTTAGCTTTACTCACACCTCAAAACCAACCTTGCTGGCCTTGCAATGGACTTTGCCATGTCATCCTCCAAAGCTCTCTCCCCTTTCTTCTTTGGGTTTCTGCTTCTCTGTCTCTTGCCACACTTTCCATCCCACGCTCAGCTTATTCCCCAACATGAAGGTCTCTGCTTTTTTTTTTTTTTTTTTCATTCCACGTTTTCTTCTTTTCTCTTTTTGACCACTTTCTTGCTCTTTCTTTCTTTCTTTCTTTAACCTCTTCTGCGTTTCATTTATAGTGCACTTATATATTGACTATAGCATGCACCAAAAGGACAAACTTTTAATGTTTTATTTATTTAACTCTGTTTTTAATTGTATGCTCTTCCAGGTTATCAACTTTTTCACCATGAAAAAGACACAGAACTTTCATAATTTTCCTTTAATTTGTCTGAGTTTTGATGCGTGTTTCTTGATCCATCAGTCTCCCTCTTCCATCTTTTTTTCCAACCATTATGTGAATTATTATTTTTCTCTAATATTCCTCTTATATTCCCTCCTACGTTTTTTTTTATTACTTTTTTTCTTTACCGTTAGGTTTTTTGGCTCATGGATTTACCGTTTGACTACTTGTTAATTAATTAGTTTTGCATATAATCATATATACTTTAAGCTATTTATTGTGTTAAAATAATTTAAGTTACTTTGTTAATTGTTAGTACACTAAATGTATGTGTTTATATTTAAAACTATTGTTAGAATGTTTAAATGTGAATAGAGTTGAGTTGATATAAAAAATCTAATATAAAATAAAATTAAACTTGATAAGTGATTATATGTAAAAACATGAAAGGACCCATAAATTCAAATTTTTAAATCTCGAGTTAAGATGCGATTTTTGTTTTTGTTTTTGTTTTTGTTTTTGTTTTTTTTTTTTTACTTCTTGTTACTCATTTGTTCCCCCAGCACCCCGCTCTCATAATTTGTTTTAATATAGTATTTGTATTCGTCGGCTTCATCAGGCGGAATCTTTTATACATCCTAGATTCCTCTGCGCTTGGAATTTTTTTTGGGGCTAATCTTCGGCTTCTATTTTGGTGGGATTATTTCATTTAATGTATGTACCCAAAAAATGTTTCAGTTTTTTTATATAGAATATTTCATTTTTTTTTTGTTGGGTTTGATAGTTCCAACTTTGTTAGGTCACGTCCGGTCCATTTAAATTTGGGAAATTGTGTCGTCAATTGGCAACACCGGGCCCGCCCCTGCGAAATCGCCACCCTTGTCTGGGTCCCCATTGTCATGTTTTCTAAGAACTCTATCTTCATCTTTATTTCAAATAATTTAAAAAAAATGACAATAAAATTTTATAGCGGCTCAGTCTTCGATATTTTTTTTAAAAAATAAGTTATAAATATTTATTCAAACAATTATAAACAAAAATCCTAACCATAAATAGAGAGTTAAAAATTTTTGATTGCAATTAAAATTTATAAATTTATGATTATCTGAATCAATATTTACACCTAATTTTTCACAAAAATAAAAAATTGAAGACTTAATTGTTATAAATTTAATATGTTGGGACTTTAATTTTAGTCTTCCAATAATTTTATATGCAAAATGCATATTTTTTGATTGCTCACAAGTGTTTTCTATTGAAAGCAATCTTGTTCGAAGCACAATCGAGTACTAAATGTATGTTTAACAGTTAAGAATATTATAGATAGTCGGTCCCTTTATTTAATATCATAAGACATTTTTAATTGAGTTGTACCTGTTAATGGATTAGTTAATTGTCTTTAAAATTGCACATTTTTTTTATATTTACTTTTATTTAATAAGGTATCTTAATTAAAAAAAACCTTATTGATTACATCCCTAATTAAGTATTTTTGGAAAACCCTCATTACTTATTTTTCAAAAGACCCAAAATATCTTATACTCTCTCAATTCTAATTTATAAAACACTTTTAGACATAATTTACATACCAATAAAGCTCATTAAATACATCTTACAATCTTATATTTTTTAAAATAAAAACATAAATTTTAAAAAATACTTTTTATTTAATATTCTATTTGTGAAAGAATATTAAATAGAGATAATATATGATAACAAGAGTAATATTGAAAATAAAAATATTATTAATAAAACTTTATTATTTATCAAAGTCTCTAATATTTTGAGATGCTAAATCTTTTTTAAAAGTGTCTTGTAAATTAGAATGAGTAAATAATATTTTTGAAAGAATATCATATAATATAAAACCTTAGATAAAGTATAATTCAAATGCACGAGAAAGAATGCAACCGATAATATATAGTACTTTACACCAGACTTGTGTGTACTAATTTTGTGAATTTAGTGAAAATCACTCTCCTATCTGCGACTGCATTTACTCGTAATCCTTTTTTTTTTTTTCTTTTGTGGGAAGCTTTCTTTTCAAAATCATAAATAATTAAGAGGCATAGAATGTTAAAAAATGAGTTAACCACACAAGCTTGTTGTTCACTTAAATTAAATTAGTCGACGTGTTTATGCGATACAGTGAAAGCTCTTCAGGCAATATCTGATAAATGCAACAACGTGAATTGGAAGGTTACGCAAAGATCTTGCATCAATGCAGTTAAAGGATTTAACAACTACATGATCAACATGTCCGTGCCCAGTCGTTTCACTCAAATTGCCAGCAATGTCACTTGCGATTGCTCTTTCCAAAACGGCACCGTTTGCCATGTCACCAATATGTATGCCTCCTCCTCCTTCTTACCTCTAATTATGTTGCTATATTGACTAATTTAAATATTACATGACAGTTGAAATTAGAAAATATTTTGTTAAAAGTGAATGATTAAGTTGCTATACTAATAAGTTTGAATGAGTAGTTTAAACGTTCACGAGCTACTTGCCAAATCCAAGGAGTTTGAATTGCCTTAATTTAAACGATTTAAAAGCAAATAAGTGAAATCAGTAAGGTAATTAGACAAGTTTTTTCGTAAATAACTTGAACAAATTAACTCAAATTTCTCGATTATACATCAATTAACCCATGGCTGCTTTAAATTGTATACATTTTCGAATCATTAGTGTTTAGTGATACAACAATTTGTCAATGACAGTATGTTGAGAGGGCTGAATATATCTGGAGTTATCCCCAATGAATTCGGAGATCTCACCCAGCTGAATGTACTGTAAGTGATCCTTTGCTTGCATATATAATCATTGTGAAACAATACATCAGAATCTGATAATTACTGACAGAAACTTTGTTGTGTTGAGCAGTGATCTCACTTACAACTACCTCAATGGCTCAATCCCGACGTTTTTCACTCGCATCCCTATTACCAATCTGTACGGTGTTTTTGCAAAATATATGAACAAGGCATGCAAATTCAGTGAAACTATATTACAGATTGTATTAATGCTTATATGTGCTTCAGGTCCATGGTGGGGAATCGAATTAGTGGTTCAATTCCTGCAGAGTTCGGTGAAATTGCTAGTCTACAGGAGCTGTAAGTTTTGGAGTCAAAGCCATTCTCATTTCAAAATTGAAGATATTGTCGCTGAATGAGTTTGTATTAATGCTTATAGGATCCTCGAAGATAATCAGCTAGGAGGACATCTTCCTCAAAGTCTGGGAAATTTGAGCGACTTACGAAGATTGTAAATTGTCTTTGGTTCTTCTAGCAATTTTCATTTGTAGCTTTTTCCCCAAATAAAAAAAACTTGTTAATCGATTTCAATTTCCGATTTTCCTCTTCTGTATTCCCTGCATTCTCGTTTGGTGCTAACTATAATATATGTGTCATTTCGTGTTATGAAAATGCAGACTTCTCTCTGCAAATAATTTTACAGGGATAATACCAGAAACATTTGGAAATCTCAAGAACCTCACTGATTTGTGAGTGATATCATGCCATGCAACTGTTTTGTTTTGTTTTGTTTTTTTGGTTACGTTCATCATTCTTCATATTTGGTCAAGTCTGTTAAATATTGAGATCACTCTTACAACTCCTTTTGCAGTAGGATAGATGGAAGCACTTTATCAGGAAAGATCCCAAGTTTTATTGGGAATTGGACCAAATGTGTTTGTTTGTGAGTATCCTTGAGTTTAAACATTCCTTATAGTCTAAAAAGAAACTGACTTTATGTTCTATTCACTTTCTTTTCATTTTTAAGAGAATTTTACGTTTTTGTTAGGAATATGCAGGGCACAGGCATGGAAGGCCCAATTCCTTCTACCATATCATTATTGAAAAATTTGAAAGAATTGTGGGTGCTTATTTTTTCTTTGAGGGACATAAGTTATAAATTGTTCTGAATTTATTTACTCTTCAACGAAGAATTAATTTCTTTTAATTAAAGAGCCATATTCACTTCAGGAGAATATCTGATTTGAGTGGAGCAACCATGGAATTTCCTGACTTAAAGGATCTACAGAGTCTAGAACGACTGTGAGTTATAAACTTTTCTACCATCATACCAAACGCTATATCACTCATTTGGGTTTGGTATAAAGTGGCTTATATCCTCCTTTCTATATGACTTCAGGATATTGAGAAATTGCTTAATTACCGGTCTAATTCCAAAGTACATTGGCGAAATAAAAACCTTAAAGACTTTGTGAGTTGCTTCATCTATGGGTATTTATTGGCTAAAGATTGGTGAAATTTCCTAGTATTTTATGGATGCATTTAGGGCTTTCTCTCACCATTTCCTATACTAAAGTTCTTGTATTCTGGGTTTTTCAGGCTAGCTAATTGATTATCGGTCGTGGTTTACTGATTTGCGCCTTAACTACTTCGTTTTCTTGCAGAGACCTAAGTTTTAACGGGTTGATTGGTTCAATCCCTGACTCATTTCAAGGATTGAATTTTAATCACATGTAAGCATACATTTGCATTTGTTGGTGAGAAGTGTAAAAGAAAAGAATGCGGATATTCTATCAAAAACATATATCAATGATAATCACCAGTGGTGCTGTTAATAATTGTGATGCAGGTTTCTGGCAAATAATTATCTGAATGGAACAATTCCAGATTGGGTGCTGGAGAACAAATATAATATGTTAGAGCTTATTTCCTTAATATTTCTCTATTTGCAAAGTCTAGAGTCGCCTTCTATACAACTGGAAGTCCCAAATTAGCGAAGAAACTAAAATTTTAATTTCATGATATTTTTCTTTCAGTGATTTATCTTACAACAATTTTACTGAGGTTTCTGCATCTAGTTGCCAGAACTTGCTAGTGTAAGATTCATTCTTTTTGTTTATCAATTAGATGAGACTGCATTTCAAATGAACCAATGTTGACGTTTGTAATTGGCCACTTACTGTTATTGATGGACAGTAACTTAGCTTCTAGCCTTTCATCTTCAGGAAGAAATGCGTAAGTTCTTGCTATGGCATCCTTGTTTTAAATTTAGTTTTTTTTTTAATATATATCTCTTTGAAATATCTATTGAAACAAACTATTCATTGTCTTATAGATCCTTTTGCCTGAAGAAGGGCCTACCTTGTCCAGTAACACCTCAGTGTGAGTTAAGAATCGTGTTTTCATGCACCACAAAAACTTTGCTAAGCAAAGCCACTTTCTCCTAGTTGACATGTTGTAATATCTTAATCATACAGATGATTCGTTGTTCATAAACTGTGGAGGACCCAAGATGGAATTTGAGGGGAATGAATATGAAGATGATCTCAATCAAAATGGCATTTCATACTTTTATAATGTAAAAGACAAATGGGCTTATAGCAGCACAGGAACATATATGTTTAATGATAAAGCTGATTATGTAGCAAGTCTAGGAAAAAATAAGTTTTCTTTGAATGTCAATGGCTCAGAATACTACCAATCAGCCCGCCTCAGCCCATCGTCGCTTAAGTACTATGGCCTATGTATGTTGAAGGGTAATTATAAAGTAAAGCTCCATTTTGCTGAGATAATGTTTTCTGATGACCAGACATATAGCAGCGTTGGTGCACGCATATTTGATGTTTCAATTCAAGTGAGTGATGAGAAGAAACATACTCTATTTGATTGTTTAAATTGCTTCTTACATTTTTATCACATACCATGCGTGGTTCTACTGCTAGAAAACGTTACTTTTGAAGCTAGAAATTCAGTGCTGTATTTTCACAGGGTTTTAAATACTTGGAAGATTTTGACATTGCCAAGGAAGCTGGTGGAGCTGGTAAGGGCATCACTAGGGAATTCAACATTGATGTGAACGATAGTACGTTGGAGATCCATTTATACTGGGCAGGGAAAGGAACTACTGCAATTCCCACTAGAGGTGTATATGGACCTCTAATATCTGCCATCACTGTGACCCCAAGTAAATATTTGTCACATTAATATAACTTACTTTCTTCTTATAAATTACCTTACATCATGCAGACTATAAGCATTTATTCTTTGTTGCAGACTTCAAAGTTCCTCCAGAAAGGTTCTCTGCTGATGACCAAAAAGGAGAAAAAGGGTTCTCTGCTGGAGCTATCATTGGAATTGTGGTTGGATCATGTGTATTCCTCATACTGGTGGTACTCATTATCCTTCGAAAGAATGGTTTCCTTTGGGGGAAAGATCGACAAGACATAGGTAATATTATGGCCTTAAAGAAACTAATTTAGGTTTTGCAAATAAAAGGGTAGTTAGGAACCAAGAAAAGAAGAGAGCGAAATTACCTTGGGAAATAAGACAAAATAGATGTGCATGGGAACTAGGGCTAAAATAGTGGGAATGATGGAAACTTGACTAATATTATAGGGAATTATGCACCTCTATAGATTGGGAATAGGAAAAACAAAATCACCCCCTTGTTATAGCCGTTACTCAAATGAAAAGAACAAAGATAAACAAAAGAAAGGAACATAAATTACACCAACACTCTTGACCTTTGATAGGTTAGGTTCTTTCCCATTCATTAAGCTAGAACATTGCCCATATCTTATTGACACACTATTCCCTCTACAAAAACATGTCCCGTTCTCTATTGACTCTCTCATTTACACTCACATCTCATACTTCATAGCCCATACATAACCCATAACAGTCATTTACAAGCATAGCCCATTAATTTGTGCCCCAACAATATACTATGCTGGAGAGGCTATATAGGACCACAGTAGTTGGTCAGCTAAATCATCTGCTGTTGTTGTCATGCTAACCAATCCTTGCATGTGAAACTCTCTAATTATTTCACCTTATGCATGATCTTCCACTTTTGTTGTCTCGATTTGTTGGGAATTCTAGCTCTCTAATTTTTGTTTGCTTTTCCTAACAGATCTTAAGGGCTTGGATCTTAAAACTGGCATATTTACCTTAAAGGAAATCAAAGTAGCAACCAACAATTTTAATGCTGGTAATAAGATTGGAGAAGGAGGGTTTGGTCCTGTTTATAAGGTTGTGCACAAGAGGAAATTTTCTATTAAATTGCATGCATGATCAATTTCAGGTTCCTGCTTACTTGAAATTCCATTTCAACTTTCCTGTTACATTATATATCTTGTCCAAAAACGCAGGGCATTCTCCCAGATGGCAAAACAATTGCAGTTAAGCAACTATCTGCTAAATCAAGGCAAGGGAATCGTGAATTTCTAAATGAAATAGGCATGATTTTTGCTTTGCAACACCCTTGTCTCGTTAAGCTTTATGGCTGCTGTGCTGAAGGAGATCAGTTGTTGCTCGTATATGAGTTTATGGATAACAATAGTCTTGCTCGTGCTTTATTTGGTAAATTACTAAATTTTTGGCCTGCTTTGCTTTGTGATTATTCAATATCTTATGACAAATATCATCGTTATATGAGAATGTAGTCTGATTTATATTACATTATAAAATGAAGGCCCGGAAGAACTCCAGTTAAAATTGGATTGGCCAACAAGACACAAGATTTGTATTGGGATTGCTAGAGGTTTGGCTTACCTCCACGAAGAATCAAGATTTAAAATTGTTCATAGAGACATCAAGGCCACTAATGTGTTGCTTGATAAAGATCTCAATCCCAAGATATCTGATTTTGGTTTGGCCAAGCTTTATGAGGAGGAAAATACCCACATTAGCACCAGAATTGCTGGAACTCGGTTAGTTAATTAGTTTTAATTGTTAATTTATTAAATATTTATTATTTATATTTGTTTGGATAACACATAGGGAATAAAATGCAAACATGGTAGTAAACATCTCCTTTAAGAAAATGACGATGATTTTGATTAAATTAAAGGTGACACCATAAAAGGCAAAAAGAAAAAAAGAAAAAGAAAAATTGACTCAAGGGCATTTGGCTTTATTTGCTCTTTACCTTTACTGTAATAAATGAAATTTTTATTATGTAGCGGTTACATGGCTCCTGAATATGCAATGCATGGATATTTGACCAAGAAAGCAGATGTTTATAGCTTTGGGATTGTTGCATTGGAAATTATCAGTGGCAAGACCAACACCGCTCAAAAGTCAGAGGAAGAATGTTTTTATTTGCGTGATTGGGTAACCAACATCCCATATGCACCATTAAATTTATGTTAATTGATCTTACCAGATATTATTGAACATGTCTTTTTTAGAGTAATTAATAGAAGTCCCTCTAGGGCCTCTATTAAGAGCTTAATCTAAGGCTGCCATTTATGTACTGTTGTTATCAGGCGCACCAATTGAAAGACGGAGGTAATGTGATGGATCTGGTGGATCCAAGGCTGGGTAAGGCCTTCAACAGAGAGGAAATAATGGTTGTGATTGATGTGTCTCTCCAATGCACTGAGAACTCTCCAGCACTAAGGCCTACTATGACTGAAGTTCTCAGCATTCTTGAAGGCAGGCTTGCTGTTCAGGAGGTAGTTTCAAATGAAACTGAGATTATGGATGACTTGGAATTGAAATCGTGGAAGAAAAAAGAAGCTGATAAAGATGGGACTGATGGTGCGATGAACTTGTCAAGCCATGAGTCTCAGACTACGTCTAAATCCTTTTCAGATCTCTATCCACTGAATAAATATTCGTCTTTTTGGGAGAAAACGAACTAGCTCCATGTCTCAAACATGGCCTCCTCACGTACGTTAAACATGTTAATCTTGCCACAGTTAGATGATATATATATATATATATATATCACGTTGATATTGTGTAAGTTCTCTTGTGCTGCCACACCCTGATATATTTCTTAGAACTTGATAAGTATCTGGAACTGGGAGACGTGGATTAAGAATCTAATTGAGCTTTGTATTAAACTGTAGAATTGTTGGTCCTGTTAACCTCCCATGTCTCTTTTATATTGTTTTGTAACAACTTCCCTAATTCTCCCTTTCTTTTACACTGTTTTTTATATATAATATTTTACATATTAAACATATTCTCAAAATCACTTTCATGATTTACCAAGCACGACCAACTGGCAGCCATCATCATGGCCTCCATTCACTTTCGTTGAAGCTCCATATATGGTTGATGTTGTTGTTTATTTAATAAAGAGATCGTATGTTAACAAAAGAACGTTGACTGTTGATCGATGCCAAATACAAAATCAGCCAGCCGGAGCTATAACCCCAAAATTGGAAAAGAACAGGGGAAGAAGCAGAGAGAAACAAAGGGAAAAGCAAAAGACACATGATCTTGGTATTATTCAATCTGCTAAAAGTCTAACATCAGAATAACTTAAGGGTTATTCACAATGATTAAAAAGTTAAATAAGTTAAACCTAAATAATTCACCAAAAAACCCTAAACCTAGATAAGATAAGAAAACCCAATTCAAAATAAATTAAAGAAAACCTATCTTCCAAAATAAATATAATTATTAAAACATAACATAAATTCTATAACTAGGTTTATAATCATTTTAATCTTCAAGAAGCTTACCAGATGAAGAAAAATCATTCTTACTTGGAAGAGACGCTGAGGAGTCAACCCATGACCGATCGGTTGACTTGCCTCTTTGTTCCATACTTTCTTGAGAGGCTACAGATGTCTGGCTGTCATACGATAGCATCTCAAAGGCTTTGAACCTTGCATCTTGACTTTTGTGCTTGATTATTGGTGCTTGGATTGGAGCTTTTCCTTCAAGCATGCTCACTACAGATGACATGGAGGGTCTGAGGGTGGGAGATAGACTAGTACACAAGAGAGCCAAGGTGAGCATTCTCATGGCCTCATCTTTAGAGTAGCTTGAACCAAGACGAGGATCCACCAATTCCAGGAGCTTTCCTTGCTCTTGAAGAACAAAGGCCTTCAATGGCATACAAAGATGTATGTATTAAAATTTTAACAAATACATCAGAAAAAGAAAAAGATCCTATAGTAACACAAGATCCTATTAACACCGCTTGGAGCTTGGCGTCTGATTAGTTGATTATGAAAAATCTTTTAGTACTATTTAGATTTTTGGATTGTGAAGAGAGTGAAAGTGATATGTACTTAAATTCTCTTGAGAAATACTTCACTTACTAGAAACTCCAAAATTAAAAAAAAAAATATACCCAATCAAGAAGATGAACAAAGTCATCCATTGGCATGTAATTAGTGTTGCTCCTTCCACTGACAATCTCCAAAGCAACAACTCCAAAACTATAAACATCTGCTTTGTTTGTCAACTGACCTCTCATTGCATATTCTGGAGCCATGTAACCACTAAAAAAAGATCATGCAATACCTACTAGTTAGAGTTTACTCAACAAATATGAAATATTAACATTTTCTAGGATCAATCGAATGACTTTGGCTTTGTGCAATAAAAAGATCATACAGGAAAGAGAAAGTCAAAAGTATATGCAGAAGATAAACTTTCTACTAGTGATCAATCAAGTATAATTTAATGTGGCACAATACATACATTGTTCCAGCTACTCGAGTGATGATGTGGGTAGTTTCTTCTTCATAGAGTTTTGCCAAGCCAAAATCAGAGATTTTGGCATTCAGATCTTTATCAAGTAAGATGTTTGTTGCCTTAATGTCCCTATGTATTATTTTCAACCTTGACTCCTCATGAAGATAAGCCAATCCCTGTGCTATCCCCTGACAAATCTTTACTCTTGTGGGCCAGTCCAAGTGTATCCCTTGTTTAGCACAGCCTGAAAATCAAGGAAACCAAGAGAAAGGAAAATGTACTCTCAAGTTACATATTGCAATTTAGAAGTACGTATTTACACAAACAATTTGTCCATGAAGCATTCACCAGAAAGTGCTCGAGCAAGACTGTTGTTCTCCATGTATTCATATATAAGCAACAATTGATTTCCTTCGATGCAACAACCATAAAGCTTCACAAGATTTGGATGTTGTAAAGCAGATATCATTCCTATTTCATTAACAAATTCACGATTTCCTTGCTTTGACTTGGAAGAGAGCTGCTTAATAGCAATGGCGATGCCATCGGATAACACACCCTGCCATTTAGCAAATAAATCAGTATCGTAAGCATAAGTGGCATCCTGCAGTATTTTAGAATTTCACGCTACCTTATACACAGGTCCAAAGCCACCTTCTCCTATCTTATTTGCAGGGTCAAAGTCGTTGGTTGCAGTTTTAATTTGTCTTAGAGAAAAATAACCTGTCTTCAAATCTAAAAGTTCTGCAACATGAAAGGGGGATACGTGTAAGCAGAAGAAAGAAGAAAGAAAGGTAGAGAGAAAACAAGAATTAAGACAGTTGTATCCCAGAATGAATAGACCAAAACTGCATTTTCAAATAAATTATCACCATTTATCCTTTTCAAGATAAGTAATTCATCAATGTATATTCATCCTTCTTTTAACTACTAGAAAATTCGACCCTTTTATTAGCACAATCTAAATCGTGAGCCAAAAATAGTTTATTTTGGATTCCAAAATTACCTTTATCTTTTGGATCTTTCCCACCAAGGAAACCCTTCTTTTTGAGGACAATGAGTACAAGAACAAGGAAGGTGCATGATCCAGCCACAATTCCGATAATAGCTCCAACAGACAACCCTTTTGAAGGAAGTTTGAAGTCTACAACCCAGAACCAATGCTTAAATTACATGATATCGATGTAGTTTATAAGAAAATAATAACTTAAGAATGTGAGAAATGCTTACTTGGGGTCACAGTGATGGCAGATATCAGAGGTCCATATACACCTCTTTGGGGAATTGCAGTAGTACCTTTCCCTGCCCAATATAAATGGATCTCTAAGGTACTATCATACACATCAACATCAAATTCCCTAGTGATGCCCTTACCAACTCCACCAGCTTCCTTCAGAATGTTAAAATCTTTCAAGTATCTAAAACCCTGTGAAAATACAATGTTGAATTTCTAGCATAAAAACTTCTGTTTTCTAGCAAAGTCAGATATGGCAAGTGATAAAAATGTAAGAAGCAATTAACACAATCTAATAGAGGATGTGTCTTCATCACTCACTTGAATTGAAACATCGAATATGCGAGTTCCTAGACTGTTAAATGTCTGGTCATCAGAAAACATTATCTCAGCAAAATGGAGCCTTACTTTATAATTACCCTTCAGCATACATAGGCCATAGTACTTGAGTGATTGAGGGCTGAGGCGGGCTGTTTGGTAGTATTCTGAGCCATTAACATTCAAAGAAAACTTATTTGTTTTCAGACTGGCTACATAATCAGCTTTATCGTTATATATATATGTTCCCGTGCTGCTATAAGCCCATCTGTCATCTTTTATATAAAAGTATGAAATCCCATTTTGATTGAGATCTTCATCATACTCATTACCCTCATATTCCATCTTGGGTCCTCCAGAATTTATAAACAACGAATAATCTGCATGGTTAAAATATTATGACATGTTAACAAGGAGGAATTTATTATCATAGCTTTGTGTAATAAAATTTTTGCCTTTCATGAAAGCCTGAATAATGCACAAAGTCTCAACTCACATTGAGGTTTTTTGGGACAAGGCAGGCCCTTCTTTAGACAAAAGGATCTACAAGATGAATAACTTGTTTCAACTGATGATTTGAAGAGATACGTAACTGATTCTAAGTTAATAAGCATGCCATAAGTAAGAACTCACGTATTTCTTCCTGAAGGCAAAAGACTAGAAGCCAAGTTCCTATCCATCAATAGTATCAAGCAGTCAGTTACATGACAAGCATTAACATATATGTCAGTTTGAAATGCTCATGTATTTGATCAACAAAGAGAAGCTTACACTTGTAAGATCTGGCAACTAGATGTAGAAGCCTCAGTAAAATTGTTGTGAGATAAATCACTGAAAGAAAAATATGAGATTAAATGTTTAGTTTCTTCATTAATATAGAACGTAAAAGGTGACTGAAAGACTTTGCAAATAGAGAAATATTAAGGGATGAAGCTAACATGTTATATTTGTTCTCTAGCACCCATTCTGGAATTTCTCCACTCAGAGAATTGTTTGTCAGAAACCTACATCCATAATTAATATCAGTCCCATAATGATTCTAGAAAGTTAAAACCAATGAATATCTACATTCTTTTCCCTCAGACTTCTTACAAGAAAAAGAAAATGATTGCTTCTTACATGTGATTAAAATTCAATTCCTGAAATGAATCAGGGATTGAACCGGTCAAATCGTTAAAGCTCAGGTCTCTGCATCAAAATGTAGTTAAGACACAAATCAATAAACCATGACAAATAATCAATTAGCAAACTTGAAAACCCTAGAATACAATAATTGTAGTGCAAGAAATTATGAGAGAGAGCCTTAAATTCATCCATAAAATACAAAAGAAAATAAAATTTCAACAAATTTTAACCAATAAATAACCAATACTAAGCAACTTACAAAGTCTTCAAGTTTTTTATTTCGCCTATGTAATTTGGAATGGGACCTGTAATTAAGCAATTCCTCAATATCCTGAAGTCATAGAATTAAGGAGGATATAAGCCCCTTTATATGAAACCCAAATGAATGATATAGCTCTTGCTATAACAGTTGAAATTTGTCTCAACTCACAGTCGTTCCAAACTCTTTAAATTCTTCAGATTAGGAAATGTCATAGTTGCTGTTCCTCTCAAGTCAGTTATTCTCCTGATATCAAAATGTCTCATCAATGAGAAGAAAATTATTTTCTTTTGAAGATAAAATTCCCAAACAACTTTATAATGTATGTGCTTGAAAGGAGAATAAATAAGCACTCACAGTTGTTTCAAATTTGCCAACAACGATATGGTGGAAGGAATTGGCGCTTCCATGCCTGTTCCCTCCATATCCCTGGCAAAAACGTAAAATTCCCTTAAAAATGAAAAGAAATTGAGCATAACAAAAATTTAGTTTCATCTCCAACAAGAAAAACATTTAAATGAAACTTTACTCACATATATAGAATTTTGGTCCAGTTCCCAATAAAACTTGGTATCTTTCCTGACAAGGTACACCCATCTATAGAACTGCAGAAAAGTTAGGAGTGATCTCAGCATTTAACAAAGGCCTAACCAACCATTATAGAAACAAAAATGAAAAGAACTAAATAGAACAGTTGTATCACATGCTATTACTCACAAATCAATCAGGTTCTTCAGATTTCCAAACGTTTCTGGTATTGTTCCCGTAAAATTATTTGCAGAAAGACGTCTATACATTCATATATAAAAAAAATTAAGCATAAGAAGGCAAAATGAAATGACATATATATTATGTAGCCCCAGAAGAAAATGGAAAGAATTAGAAATTGAAATGCATCAACGGGTAGGTAGAAGAACACAGGGCAACTTACATTCTCCTCAAGTTACTCAAATTTCCAAGACTCTGAGGAAGAGGTCCTCCAAGCTGATTATCTTCAAGGATCCTATAAGCATTAATACAAACTCATTCAGCTCCATTATCAACCATTTTTTTCCCTTTTCAATTGACTTTGAATTCCAAGACTTACAAATCCATCAGACTAGCAATTTCACCCAATTCTCCTGGAATTGAACCGCTTATGCGATTCCCCACGAGGGACCTAAAGCAAATGAACATTACTGAGTTAAATTTTCATTTACAAATACATATACATGGTAAATAACAAATTTTCCTATTTGCATGTGCCTTGTTCATGTACTATAACTTACAGAGTAACAAGAGGGATGCGCCTAAAAGTTGTTGGAATTGTGCCGTTGAGATAGTTGAGATAAAGATCACTGCTCAGTTCAGTAAGTTTCTGTCAGTCTTTGACCAATTCTGATGCATTTCACAATGTTTATTAATTCAAATAAGCAAAACAAAAGAGAAAAGTTTGCAATGATCACTTACAGTTCAGTCAAATGGGTCAGATTTCCAAACTCGCTGGGTAGTTCTCCTGCTATATTTTGGCTTTTCAACAGACTGCCAATGACAAATTGTTGTATCACTAAACACTAATCAGTAAAATATTAAAAAAAAAATTAAATATACTTACACACACGTATCACTTATTAAAGTCATAGTTTTTTGCATATATTAAATATAATTTCGTTCCTAAAATTTTGTGTTTTAACTTCGCATTTTTAACGTTATTCATCTTATAAGTTTCCAGATCATTCACTTTTAGAAAAAGGTTGAGGTTGAAGAATGGTACATAGAAGACATACATGTTAGTGACATGACAAACAGAGCCGTTTTGGAAAGTGCAATTGCAAGTGACATTCCTGGTGACTCCAGAAGACAAGGTAACGAGGTTATTAAATCCGTCTCCTTTAATACAAGATGTCTGTGTGACCTTCCAATTCACGTTTGTGAGCTTATCAGATATTGCCTGTAGAGCCTTCACTGTATCACAATTCACAAACACACGCATCAATCAGCTCTCTGTTTCATATTTGTTTTACTTCTTTGGATCCGACGAAAAAATAAAATAAAATAGAGTAAAAAGTAAATTGAACTTTAACAGATTTGACTCCTTGTAATTCAGTGCTGGCATGCCCATGAATTCAGGATTTAGAGTCAAAGGCCACAATAAATTACTAAGATCAAAGCCTAATGCCTTCTTTTTCTTGTTTATATTCCTTTTAATATTTTGGATGGGGACGTTTTGCATGTGAATGCTGAGTTTCTTTTTGACGTGAATGTGAAGGCTGAGTCAAGCCCACGGTTTTTAGCTATTTTATTTTGCCCTCTTCACGCCAAAAGAAAAGGCCATTTATTGGGTACCAGAAAAACAAAAAGAAAAGTTGCAATAAGATAATCCAATTGCATGTGAGCGTTTATTAATAAAATTTGGAGATGGAGCCGCCCCCCGCCCCCCGGGGGGTTCCCCAGAAAAGAGTGCAGGGACAATAGCAGAAGTAATGAACTATGATCAGAACCTTCAAGAGATTTTCCCCCCTTTTGAGTAAAAACACTACTTGAAAGTGTTAATGAGTTGAGTTGAGTGCATAACTGGGAAACAAGATTAGAAGGCAGATTAAAGCATTTCTGAATCCTGATGGATCAAGAAGAACCCATCAAAACTCAGATACAGTAAAGGGATGAAAGTTTACATTATCTGATGTAAAAGTACATTTCAAAACAGGGGAAACTGATGCAAAAGTTTCAGTCCTTTTTGGAACCAACTTGCACTTGATCAAATCATTCTTAATTTTTATCTTCTTTTTATCGCTATATATATATATATATATATATATATATCTATCTAATTATCTATACGAGTGATAGATGCGGAAGAGGTTAAAAGCATCTTATTTGTGATACTAAGACAGGATCAAAACGGCAGAGCGTTTATAAAGCTTTCAGTAATTGAACGTCTGAGAAATGAGAAAGAAGTATTAAAATAAAAAAAAAAGCATAACAGTGCTCAAAAAGGGGTGGGGGGGGGGGAAGAGATGGATAAGCAAAGTCGAGTGAGGAGAAGAGAGCAGAAATGGAAGAAAGTACCTTCATCTTGTGGTATGAGCTGAGCGTTGGATAGGAAATCTGAAAAGAAACAGAGAAGCAGAAATCCGAAGAAGAAAACAGAGACAAGTTTGGAGCTTGACGCCGCAAACTCCATTAATTACAAGACCAGCAAGAAGGTTGGTTGAGAAGAAGAGGCGTCCAGAATGATGAAATTGAAGCAAGAAGTAGAGCATTTAGTGGAGGGAATGAGAGGGAGGCAAGCTTCAGACTCAACGTATCATGGAATTCGGGATTTTATCACCTCCTTCACTTTGCAACAGTATTTTGTTTTATATAAGGAATAATTGTTCATTATATTATGCATTTATTAAAAATTTAATTTTTTTAACCTTGTTAAATAGCAACTACCATCATATATTAGATACATCACCATCATATCAAACAATTAATATGGATATTTAAAGATTAAAAGCAAAACTTACATATAAAGTAAAAAAAAAATTACAACTAATAAATTTTTACAACCTCCCTCTTTTATTTGTTTGGTAATGTCATTAATCTAACAGGCTATTGGCTTCAGTGGGGAAAATAGGCTATAGGCAAGCGGCAACTGTATATATATATTTTTTTAAGTGACGCACGATTCTCCTTTTATTTTATTGGAGACAATCTGTATAGTTTATCAAACTATATTCTTTAATTCATAATCAATAAAAATTAATTCAGTTATTAAAAATTTAATTCATAATTCATAAGCTCATAGAGTCAAGTCTCATAACAATATGAGAATCTCATTAATAATAATCTATGAATAATTTTATAAGTATTTTTTAAATTCAGATTGTTCGATTTTAGTAGAAGCTTGTGGTCCAATTCCGGTGGAATAAGATCAAACTAGCAATGTTGTTTGAGTTACTTTTAAATGTAAACATAGAATTTAAAATTTAAAATTTTACTTAAGACCCAAATAAAAAATTTTAATAATATAATTTAAATTTTTTTCTATCATCCAAATAAAGAATTTAAAATTTATAAATTTTAAATATAAAATTTTAAATTTAAATTTTTAACTTAAATTCACAAATTCAAATAGAACTTTAGTGCTATTTAATCCATATCATTTAGTTATTTGTTTCTAATAAATAGAACCCCCATGTGTATGTGTTTATGGTTGGTATTGAAAGTTAAATTTAAACAAAGTATTCCACGAAAAAAAAAAATTAAACAAAATATATTTGATTAAATACTATCATTATTGAGGGACCAACATGTAAGATGAATTCTATGTCAAGGAAAATAATTAACACTTGTTAGGCTTAGAGGCATGGATTTCGGCACACACTTTCTCTTTGGATAATAATTAAAAAAAGAATAAAATACTCTAATGGTCTCTTATTTTATTTTAATTACATATATTTTTTTCTATTTTTGAAATATATATGAACTTCCTTTAGTATAAGTGTTTATGAAATACAAATCTCTCTTTTATTTTTAAGATTTTATTACCATCCACACAACTATAAGTTAATCATTAAGTCATATATATTAGATTAAAATATGTCTTCTTTAAATATAGATTATGTCTAAAAATCATTCAACTTGTAAAAAAATCAATGCATATTCTTTTTACTTTTTAATTTATATTTTAAATCATTTAGTTATATAAACGTTATTTATTTAATAACATTTTCTAAACTTTAAATACATAAATTTGCCAAAATAATATTTCAAACACATGGTTAAAAACCTTACCGAAATAAGGACTTAATATAATAAATTATTCAATATAATTTATTTTTATTCTTGTTAATTTTAACACAAAATATTGAATTATTTATTCAAATATTAAAATAATTATTTAAAATTTTTTAATTGAGAGAGAATAGACAATTAGATTATAAAGGTAAACTAATAATTTTAAAATTAGATAATTATAAATAAAAGATTAAGTATTTTAAAATTTTTAACGAAATATTTTTAATGGTGTTAATAAAGTATATATTTTAAAAATAAAAGAGAAATCTCTATAATTTAAGCAAAACAGAAACGGAAGTCACGTATTTTATTCAAAAACAAAATATTTTCAAAACTATTATAGCTCTCTATTTCAATTGAGTCATTACAAAACACTCGCATTCCAAATCAATCTCTGTATGATTGCTCTGATTTTGCATTATAGGTCAACATTCAAATTTAGGATTAAGGCATGACTTTCCTAAAATTTAGTAAAATAACGTGGGTGGTGTTGTGGGGTTGAGTGAGAATGGAGACTTATCATTTTATTATAAGACTTATTAATTAAATTAAATTATTTAAAAAAGCCTGTAGTCAACATAGAATATAAGATCTTTTTTTTGGTTGGACTCTAATGAAAGTTTTCTCCTTTTTTTTTTTTTTATATTATGCATGAAATTGTACCTTAACAAAAATAATTAAGGCGAACTGTATCGATGATGGATGGTGGAAATTATATATATTGAAAAGGGTTGGTAAAGGGCAGGATGAAGTTAGAAAATTTTATTAAACATATATAATAATAAAAAAAATTAAATCTATATATATCACTAACACAATATAAATAATTTAATATATATATTTATATTTAATTATATATACATAATAAAAATAAATATATACTTTCAGTTTTTAAATTTTTCTTGTCAATTTTTCCTTACATAAAAATAATTAATTATCATATATATAATAATATTTTTAATAATTTTTTTAATATAAATTATCATTAAATTGATGAAATTTTTATTTTTCTCGTGAACATTGAATAATTTAAATATGTTATTGCAATTTAAAGTTTTGTTTGATACTTCAATCTAAAAAATTCTATATCAACACGGCAACGATGCTCAATTGTCACAAATTTTTTTATTTTAATGATATCTAAATATATTATAGTAAAAATTGTTTATATAACAAAATTTAATAACTTGGTTATTACAAAAAAAAGTAATTTTTTTTCAAAAGAACATATCTTAACCATGATCTTTTAATATTTAGATAAATAACTTTATGATAAATATTAAGCATATGTAAAGTTGAAAAACAGGAAGACTTAGCCCATATAGGCCTGACCCTTAAAGGCTTGGGCCCTTAAGCTCAATTTTTTTTAAATACTTTATTTTCTAAAATCTAGCCCTAATATAAAGGGCTTAGGACCAAGCCAATAAATCCTTATTATTTTTTTATTTTTTAAAATTTTTAAAAATTAAAAATTTTAATTATAATGTTTAAAAATTAAAAATAAATAATAAAAATTTTAATTTTAAAGTATAAACATATATTTTAAAATTTAAATTCAATTTAAAAATTAAAATATTTTATTTTTTAAGAGAAAAATAAAAACAGGTCTAAAAGAGCCACTTGAATTCGAGGCCTTTTTTCAGGGCCTATCAAGACCAGACTTGAAAGCTTAATTTTTTAAAAAAAGATATCATTTTTTAAAGCTCAAAAAAATAGGTTTAAACGGGTGGCTCTCCAGACTCGGCTTTTATTTTTAACTCTAAGCATATAAGATTCAATATATCTTGAAATTTTTGTTGCAATGCTTGACAAAGTTTGTCAGTAATAATTCTCATAATTTTTTTAAAATATAAAATAGAAATAAAATTAAATGACATCAATGCTCTAAGAGCAATTATAACATTATCTTATTAAAAATAAGTGAATTTTATGACAATTATATTTTTAAACTATTAAAATAATTGGATTATACATACATAAAATATTACTATATAATTAAAATGAAAATTCTATTTAATGTCTTAAAATTTATATAATACATTAGAGTTAAAAATATATAATTCTTATATTTTATTAATAGAAAATTAAAACGTTAGAGGAGGCCGTAGCCCCTACTAGCAGGTCAGATTAATCAAAGCATTAATTATGTAGACCAACTACTCCACTGATTGTGTGTTGGTTTATTTATTCATAAATAAAAGAAATAGAGTCTTTATTCTTTAAAATATCCGTTGCCGTCGTGATCAAAAGAAAATCAGATCATAGATGGAGATCAGCCAAAATGAACCAGCATATTAGGTAGCTCAAATCGAGTTACGATTCCCGAAAAAAAAAAATATATATATATATATATATATATATAGGAATTTCCCGCAACCATTCCATTGTCCTTGGTTACGTAAACAAAGCAGAGCCTTTTGCGAATCACACTGCTTAAGTATTTTGAGTTAGGGGGAAAATAAAATATATTACAAGAGAAAACAGTGAATCCTATTATCGAGGCAGTACTAATGACCTATCTACTGCCACAATACAAAATACATTACAAATTGACCTCTGATGTTTTATTTTATTTGTGTAGTGATACAAGTGGTATTTTAATTTGTTAATTTAAACTTGCAAAGGAAGAACACCCACACTTGAAAAAATTCATCAAAAGGGGGAAAAAAACGTTTTTTATTTTTAATACAAGGAAAAGTAGAGCCTTGGATAATAACAAGTCCCTGGTTAAATCAAGCTACACAAGATCCTTGTACTATGAAGAGGGAACCATGTCATGGGTAACTTTCACCCATAAATCTACATATCAGTTAGCTTCTTTGATTATATAATGATACGATGGCTTTTAATAACATATGATGAGATTTCTTATTTATATGGTTACCTTGAAAGCTAGGAAATTTTTGTCTTAAAAATTCAAGATATTATACAAACCCTCAATAAAATTTAAAAACACTCTAAAAACCTGATTGATATATTGAAGTTCGGCTCTAAAAAAATGAAAATGAAATTTGAATCAAGCTTTGAGTAGTTTAGTATGCATCAATTTAAATTTCTCATGGAATTTAATTCAACTAAAATATCTCAAATCTGATTCTCATTATCTATCACAGTGGAATTGCCCTCCCCCTTTTCACTATCATTCACAATGTTGTTATTTTTAAATTTATTAGCGATAGTCTTTTCATATTATAAATACATATACAAATTAAAATTAAAAATTATACAATATTCTAAGTCAAATCAAAGATATTTTTATACCTCAATTCTAATTAAAAAAAACTTGAGTCATACCAAATGAGTTTCATGTAACACATCAAAATTTTTTTTTAAAATAATTTAACTCAATCATAGTTGAGTTACAGCCACCCAACACATTTTTATATCAATAATTTTAATATAAAATATTTTATAATTGGCTTCAACTCACACACTATAACATTTCAGATAAATTTTTACCTCCCACATGCCATTAGGCTAAATCACATTTGTCCATCCTTATACTCCCAACAAGTAAACTAAATCACATTTGTCCATCCTTATACTCCCAACAAGTAAAATAAGCAATTTAGTCAATTTTCAACACAAGCCAATTAGTTGACCTTATAATCATGCCATTTTAATCAATCCAAAGTAAACCTAATATTAAAATTACAGTCATCCAAATTGTACCAAAAATAGAAATAGTTTGAAAGGCATGATTACATTTATATATTCATATAATTGACAATAAACAAAAAGCCCTAATATTGACAATATAACACATTATAAATCATAAATTAAATACTCAAAAGAGACAGTGGATCTATACCACTAAGTCTCTGGGACTCCTCCACGTGTCACTCGTGGCTCTTCTCCCGAAAATTGTTAACCACATAATGAGACTCAAAAGTCCCAATAACCAAAGCCATTTTATGATAGTGTATACAAACAGTTAAGTGTGTGTTTACTAAGTGAGAATTAAAAATAATATAATTCCAACAAATATAAGAAATATTACAATACACACAAATAACCATCCTTATATCCCTCTATTAACCTTGAGCCGTAGCCCTCACTCGGTGCTAAATTACCCGGCCAAAGGTAGATTAGCCCGAGCCCTTACAAGCCACCTATTGAGCTCCAATAGGGGTGTACCACGTGGCACATAAATACAACAATAATAGCAAGTCTCCCAACACCTCCCACAATAATTAAACAAATTCATAATAATATTGCACAATTATACAATATTACAAAATTCATAATTTTCTCAATAATCACCCAATTAACATGAAGTAACACTAATCATAAATTAAAAGCATGATTACCTTGAGGCCTTTTTAATAAATTATTCCTTACAATTTCTCTCCCACCACAATCTTCAACAATAATACAATCTACAAATAACATATTATTTATAAATATTAGTTTCAATTTTTGAAACTAATAAAATAATTCTAATAATAGAATTAAAAATGTAACATAATTTCTAATCTCAATCTTAATACAAATCTAGAGTTAATACTATTAAGTAAAATTTTTAACTCCTCTTTTAATTATCAATAAACATTAATAATCTAAAAATTAGCTTCTAAACTAATTTCTATTATCAAAATTTTCTTTTTATTTCATAAATTCGTACCTAAAATACTCAAAAATTAAAAATTGAGTCTCTAGCTTAGAATCATAATCCTATAACCATAATAATTCATTTCTCATCCCAAATAATCATCTAAACCTCAATAAATCAACATATATTTTCAGATCTAGTTTAGAATTTGATCCATAAGCCACAAATTCAAAGATCATCCACAAATTTATACTTTACAACATTTATTATACTACTAACAACCTCAAAAATCATATTTATTCAACATAAATTTATCTCTCTTTCAGATCTTAAATTTTCTACCACTACAAACTCAGAAACCAAAGAAGAAGGATGACTAAGAAAAAATTTTAGAACACTTATTTAGTCTTGAAAAGCTTAAAATCACACCCTAAATATCCTATTAAAAACTCTTACCTTAAAACCTAACACTGGTGAACTTGGCTCACAGACGCTCTCTGCCTCAACTCACGCACGAAAGAAAGAATGAAGAAATGAAGGAAACAGGTGAGTTTTTATAAAAATTCAGTGGGTCCTACATCTTTTTTTTTTAATTATTTCTTCTTTCCTCTCTCTCTCTTTTTTATTATTATTATTATTATATACATAATCATTGCATTGCACCGAAAGCTGATTGCATTTTCCTCCTTCTTTCCTTCCTCTTTCTTATACCTTTTCTCTTTCTTTCTTTTTATAATAATAATAATAATTTAATAATATTTTATTTATTTATTATTATTTTTTATTAATTAATTTTTTTAGAATTATATCCTAAATTAGATTTAATAATCATTTTCTACTAATCTGCTTACCTCTAAATATTTTTCAAAATTTCTATTAACCTAAATTAACTATTAAAATTTAAATTGGGATGTTACATCTCACCCCACTTAAATCACTGATCTCAACTTAATTTCAAACTTTATTGTAGACCTATTATATTTGTAATGATAATAAGATGATAGCCCAATCTCTCCATCAAGTCTCATTTCTAATGCCATTCTTGTCTCATGACTCATCCAAGGCATGCATGTATGGTGTCCCATTTAAGGTCTACATGCAGCTATGGTTTGAAGAATAAGTAAACCATCCACATGCAGTGTAACCCATCTGGATTCCAATATTTCCCTACTTATTCCGTCCGTGATTTGCTTTCTTTGCAAATTGTCTCCAAGCATCTCGAGTCTTGTACCATTGCTAGCAACTTGAGTAGCCAATAAAGCTATTTCCTGAAGGGGAAAAAAAACTTCAATTTACAAAGTCATGCATTCTCCCACCTCAAGTAGTCAAGTTGCACTATCTTCAATAAACTCTGTTTTGTATTATTCTAGCTAAGGATTGCCACGGGTTGATGCTTGCTTTGATTTTTCTTTTCCTTCTAATTCTCAAACTATCTATGCATACATACACACATGTATATAAGATAACCTAAAATAAGGAGCAATTAATTGTTTTTATCCTTCTAATTTCATCGTGTTTTGAAATTAGTCCCTACAATTTATTATCTTTCTTTTTTAAAAAAAAAATGACTCGCTTTGTTTCATGAAGTCAAAATATTCATGGAAGGCCAATGACATCTAGCCCATAGGCACCAAGTTTTCTATGAAGATTCTGAATTCAATGCCACTTGTTTTCAAGTTGTTCCACCTTGCCCCTTGTATCAAAAAAAATTTGGAGGTGGAGGCAATCCATAATACACACACACTAATAAAAAGATTAAAGAAAGCAGCATAATGTGAGTTCATACATTCAATATTGAATCACTCCTCTTGCGCCGCCAAATCATCACAGACGAGTCGCCTTTCACACCTTGACATGACAGGTTTCTTGAAAGATCAACTTAAAATTATACAAGTCACACCCCCCAAAAACTCACAAAGTTTCAAAATTAAAAGCTGAGTAAAAAAGAAAAAACGAAACAAGCGCAACAAAGAAAATGGCAACCCCAACTCAACGTTGAAGGAAGCCATGTTCGGAACCCATAATTTCACACCAATCACGACACATATTTCTCACACATCTTGATGTACTTGTACGTAGCTGTGAAAAAAAAAAAAAAAAAGCAATGACAGAAAAGGTGATGAAAGAAACTCCGTTTGCCTCTGTTTTAATTTTGGATCCAAAAACAGAGGTAGACAAAATAAATGCAGCAAAAGAAGATAATGTTCGTGCGTGAGAATTTGAAATAGCATCTTCTTGTCCTCCGTAAAAAGTTAAATTCTAACTATCTTTCCAATAATTTAGTCTTTAAGATGCTGATCGACTGGACGAAGAATAATCATCCAATACTTGGAAGAGATGTTGAGGAGTCAACCCATGGCCCATCCATGGACTTGCTTCTTTGTTCCATGCTTCCTTGAGAGACTATAGATGTCTGGCTCTCACATGATAGCATTTCATAGCCCTTGAACATTGCATGTTGATCCCAGCTTGAACCTGTTTGCTTGATTATTGGTTGCTTGGATTGGAGTTTTTCCTTCAAGCATGCTCACTACAGATGACATGCAGGGTCTGAGGGTGGGAGATGGATTGGTGCACGAGAGAGCCAAGTTTATCATCCTCATCGCTTCAACTTGGCAGTAGCTTGAACCAAGACGTGGATCCACCAATTCTAGAAGCTTTCCTTGCTCTTGGAGAACATAGGCCTTCAATGGCATGCAAAGATGCATCAATTAAGATTTTACCAAAAACATGAGAAAAGAAAAATAAACTATAGCAACACTTTCTTTTTGTTTGCACATGTTAATTAAGCTTGGCATCTTATGTGGTGTGAAAATTCTTCTAGTACTCTTTGGATTTTAATATTGCGAAGGGAGTGAAAGTAATATGCACCTACATTCACTTATGCAGTACTTCACTTATTAGAAACTTAGAGGCATAGAAAAATTTAATTTACCCAATCAAGAAGATAAACAATCTCATCCATTGGCATGCACTTAGCATTGCTCTTTCCACTAAGAATCTCCAAAGCAACAACCCCGAAACTATAAACATCTGCCTTTTCTGTCAAGTAACCTCTCATTACATATTCTGGAGCCATGTAACCTCTAAAAAAAAGAACATGTAGTACCAAGTAATCAGAGGTTTTACTCAACAAATATGAAATATTAAAAATTTCCAAGATCATCCACATGAGCTTGGCTTTATGCAATAGAAAAACCATATATGAAAGAGCAACTGAACAAAACAATAGTATATGCTGAAGATAAACTTTTAACTAATGATCAAACAAGTATTAAATTTAATATGGCATAATACATACATTGTTCCAGCTATTCGAGTGCTAATGTGGGATTTCTCTTCTTCATGAAGTTTCGCTTAACCAAAGTCAGAGATTTTGGCATTGAGATATTTATCAAGTAAGATGTTTGTTGCCTTTATGTCCCTGTGTACTATTTTCAACCTTGACTCCTCATGAAGATAAGCTAATCCCCTTGCTATCCCTTGGCAAATCTCCATTCTTGCTGGCTAGTCCAAGTGTATCCTTTGTTCATCACGGCCTGTAAATCAAGAAAACCAAGAAAAAGGAAAGTGTATTTTTAGGTTACATATTGCAATTCAGAAGTAAGTTATATACAAAGAGTCCAAGAAGCATTTACCAAAAAGTGCTTGAGCAAGACTGTTGTTCTCCATGTATTCATATATAAGCAACAATTGATTTCCTTCAATGCAACAACCATAAAGCTTCACGAGATTTGGATGTTGCAAAGCAGAAATCATTCCTATTTCATTAATGAATTCACGATTTCCTTGCATCGATTGGGAAGACAGCTGTTTAACAGCGATGACAACACCATCAGACAACACACCCTGCCATTTAGCAATCTAAATCAGTACCATAAGCATCAGAATAATGCTCCAATATTTCAGAATCTCATGCTACCTTATACACAGGACCAAAGCCACCTTCTCCTATCTTGTTTGCCCGGTCAAAGTCATTGCCTGCAGTTTTAATATGTCTTAGAGAAAAATAACCTGTCTTCAGATCTAAAAGTTCTGCAACGTGGAAGTGAGGTATGTGTAAGCAAAAGAAAGAAGAAAGGTAGAGAGAGAACAAGAATTAAGACAAAGTTTTATCCCAGTATGAATAGAGCAAAGCATTTTTAATAAATCATTAATTTATATCCGTCCTTCTTGACTGCTAGCAAAATTTGACACTTTTTATTAGCAAGATCAAGATTATGAGAGTTGAAAATAGTTAATCGTGGGCTCCAACATTACCTATGTCCGTTTGATCTTTCCCAACAAGGAAAAACTTCTTTCAGAAGGCAATGAGTCCAAGTACAACAAAGGCAAATGATCCAACTAGAATTCCAGCAATAGCACCAGCAGACAATCCATTTGAAGGAAGTTTAAAGTCTACAACCAAGAATAAATGCTTAAATTACATGATATCAATGTAGATTATAAGAAAATAAGATATTAACAATGTGAAAATTGCTTACTTGGGGTCACAGTGATAGCAGACATTAGAGGTCCATAAACACCTCTAGTGGGAATTGTAGTAGTACCTTTCCCAGCCCAATAGAGATGGATCTCCAAGGTGCTATCGTTCACATCAACATCAAATTCCGTTGTGATGCCCTTACCAACTCCACCAGCTTCCTTCGCAATGTTGAAATCTTTCAAGTATTTAAAACCCTATGAAAATATATTATTGAATTTCTAGCTTCAAAACTTCTGTTTTATAGCAGAACCAGATATGACATGCAATAAAACTGTAAGAAGCTATTGAAACAATCTAGCAAAATATGTTTCTTCATCACTCACTTGAATTGAAACATCGAATATGCGCGTTCCAAGGCTGTTAAATGTCTGGTCATCAGAATACATTATCTCAGCAAAATGGAGCTTTACCTTATAATTACCCTTCAGCATACATAGGCCATAGTACTTGAGTGATTGAGGGCTGAGGCGGGCTGTTTGGTAGTATTCTGAGCCATTGACATTCAAAGAAAACTTACTTGTTTTCAGACTGGCTATATAGTCAGCTTTATCGTTATACATACATGTTCCCGTGCTGCTATAAGCCCATTTTTCTTTTATATAAAAGTATGAAATGCCATTTTGATTGAGATCTTCTTCATATTCATTCCCCTCAAACTCCATATTTGGTCCTCCACAGTTTATGAACAATGAATTATCTGTACAATTAAAATATTATGACATGTTAGCCAGGAAAAATCATCATAACTTATCTTAACAAAATTTTTGTGGTGCATGAAAACATGATTGATGCATAAATTAAAGTATCAACTCACGTTGAGGATTTCCAGGACAAGGTAGGCCCTTCTTCAGACAAAAGGTTCTACAAGATGAGTAGTTTGTTTCAATAGATTGTGCGGCCACGCAAATAAACTAATTTTGAAGCAAGTATGTCATAGGCAAGAACTTACGCATTTGTTCCTAAAGATGAAAGAGTAGAAGCTAAGTTCCTGTCCATTAATAATAGCAAGTAGTCGGTGTCTAGCATTAACATATGTCAATTTGAAATGCTTGTGTAATTGACAAACAAAGAGAAGCTTACCCTTTTAAGGTCTGGCAAGTAGATGTGGGTGCCTCAGAAACATTGTTGTAAGATAAATCACTGAAAGAAAAATATCATGAGATTAAAAGTTTAGTTTCTTCACTAATGGGGGACATTATAGTTATATATAAAAGGTGAATCTAGATTTGTCAAATAGACAGATATTAAGAGAATAGGCTAACATATTATCTATGTTCTTCAGCAACCATTCAGGAATTGCTCCACTTAGAGAATTGTTTGTCAGAAACCTGTGCCCATAATTAATATCAGTCCTCCTGATGATTCCAAAAAGCTTAAACCAATGAAGACAAAGTAATCAACATTCATGACATTTTCATTGACAGAATATCCACATTCTTTACTATCAGACTTCTTACAAGCAAAAGAAAATGTTTGCTTACATGTGATTAAAATTCAAATCCTGAAATGAATCAGGGATTGAACCGGTCAACATGTTAAAACTCAAGTCTCTGCATGAAAATGAAGTATTCAAGACTCAAATATATAACCATGACCAATAATCAATTAGCCAACCAGAAAAACCTAGAATACAATAATTGTAGCGCAAGAAATTATGACAGAAAGCCTTAAATTCATCCATAAAATACAAAAGAAAAAGAAATTTTCAAAACTTTTTATCCAGTAAAATACCCATGCGAAGCAACTTACAATGTCTTTAAATTTTTCATTTCGCCAATGTACTTTGGAATGGGGCCAACTATTAAGCAATTTCTCAATATCCTGAAGTCAAAGAAATGAGGATTTAAGCCACTTCATGAATCCCAAGTGAATGATATAACTCTTGGTATAATAGTAGAAATGTTTTCAACTCACAATCGTTCCAAACTCTTCAAATTCTTCAGATCAGGAAATGTCATAGTTATTGTTCCACTCAAGTCAGATATTCTCCTGGTATCAAAATGTCTCTTAATATAAAAAGAAAATAATCTTATGCTGAATATTCAATTCTCTAACATTTTTACCGTGTACAAGCTTAAAAGGGAAAAAATAGCACCCACAATTCTTTCAAATTTGTCAATAATGATATGTTGGAAGGGATTGGACCTTCCATGCCTGTGCCCTGTATATCCCTAGCAAAAACGTAAAATTCCTTTAGGAAACTTATTAAAATAAGAAGTTATTACACCATGATTTTAGTTTCATCGTCAACAAAAAGAAACATGTAAATTTAATAATACTCACAGATAATTAATTTCAGTCCAATTCCCAATAAGACTTGGTACCTTTACTGATAAGTTGTTCCCATCTATGAAACTGCAGGAAATTCAGGAGTTCTCAGTATTGGACAAAGGCCAATCCAATTATAAAAACAGAATAAACAAATAAACAAAACAGTCATATCACGTGGCATCACTCACAAAAGTGTTAGGTTCTTCAGATTCCCAAACGTTTCTGGAATTGTCCCTGTAAAATTATTTGCGGCAAGAAATCTGCAGTTTCATACAAAAAGTCAAGCGTTGGAAAAGTAAAATGAAATGAAATTTATATTATGTAGCCCCAAAAGGAGATGGAGGAAATAAAGAGTGGGAAAATTAGAAATTGAAGTCTCCTCCGACTGCATTGAAGCTATAAACCTCATTCTCAGAGACTCCAATCTTGATCATCCTTTCAAGGAAATCATTTAGGAAGCCCAGCTTTTGTTTACCAAGGACTGGTTTGTTTCTATTAATCTTGCTTATAGAGATGTAATTTGTAAAGCTAACTCTCTTGCTAGGAAAGCTCACATTTGTGAGAGTGCATATTGCATCTTTGATCATACCCCACCTGTTCTTTCAGGAGGGGAATGATAATTGATCTGTCTCTCCTCTTTGTAGGTTGTATTAGTTTTTCATAGTTTTGAATGAAGTTCAGTATTTATTCAAAAAAGAAGAAGAATGTAGGCCAACTTACACTCTCCGTAAGTTGATCAAATTTCCAAAACTCAGAGGAAGAGGTCCTGTAAGTTGAGTATCTTCAAGGCCTCTACAAATATCAACACAAACTTGTTCATTCCGGTAAGTATAATCTCATTTTGTCGATTTCAAAAAGAGATTGGCTTTGACTCCAAAACTTACAGGTTCTCCAGGCTTGCAATTTCACCGAACTCTTCAGGAATTGAACCACTAATGCGATTCCCCGAAAGGGACCTAAAGAAAATTTACATGAATGATTTCAACCTGGAAAATAACATACTCAAGCATTAATGTGCATCCTTGTTGATTTAGAGCGCGAAAACTTACAAAGTGATAAGAGGGATGCGCGTGGAAAACGTTGGAATTGTGCCATTGAGATAGTTGTGAGTAAGATCACTGCTCAAATTCAACAAGGATATGTTAGTATTTGGCAGATTCTGATGCATTTTCATGACTATGAAGGCAAATTAGGATAGGAGAATATGGAATTTAAATGGTATTTGGATATTAAACTTATATTTATATATTTTAAATTTAAAACAATTAAATTTAAGATAATTTCACCCACAACACTAAATTAAAACACATGTCTGTTATTTTTAAAAAAATTGAGCTTGATGTGTAATTGTTTTTAAATTTCACATTCCCTCTCTCTCTTACTTTCCTTTAAAAAAATTACACATCATACTTCAGTTTTTAAAATAATAAATATTTATTTTAATTTAATAGTAAAAATAAAATTATTTTAAATTTAATTATTTAAGATTTAGAATGTATTAAATAAAAATTTTAAATTTAAATTATTCTTAAATCTGTAATTTAAATTCAAATTATATATTAATTCAATAGCAAGACAAAAGAAACAAGGGCCAAAAAAATCACTTACAGTAAAATCAGTTGGGTGAGATTTCCAAATTCACTGGGTATTTCTCCCCGATATGTTCTGGCCTGTCAACCGACTACCGGCGGTGAAAATAAAATTGTGTCGTTAATCGTTTAAGAATATATATATATATATATATATATATAATTCAGAAAATGAGTGATTTTGTTCTAATTATTCTTTCAAGAAAAAAAAAGTTGTATAATTTACTTAAATTGAAGCACTCTTTTATTTAAATATTTTAAATATACTTTCATCCCTAAAAGTTTACTCCCATAATTCTATTTATAAGAAAAATAAGATTAATTTTAATTATATTTATAAGGTATTTCATAATTTTCTATATTCATCTTTACATTTATGCCTTTATTAAATGTTAAAAAATCAATAAAAATAATTCTTTTTATAAGTAGAGGTGAAAATTTATTAAATTTTTAAATAAAATTAATAAAGTTTAAAATTTTTCTTGATTTCAATAAAATATATTAAAAATAACTTATAAATAAAATTAAAATATATACTCCTTTTATACTAAATTATGAAGCATTTTTAGACAACATTATATATTCTAATAAAGTTAATTAAATATACTTTATAGTTTTATTTTTTAAAATAAAAATAAAAATTTTTAAAAACTCCCATCATTTAATACTTTATTTATGAAAAAATATTAAAGAAAAAGAATATAATGAAAATGGTAATATTTAAAAAAATTTATTAATAAAAATTTATTTTTATTAAAGTGTTTTAAATTTTTAGATATCAAATCTCCTATCAAAATGTATTATTAATTTGAAATGGAGGGAGTAAATTTTAAGTTTCCCTTGATCTTTTTGGAACATTATTCATTTGATTAAAATTCTTAGGTTCGCATCCTAGTTTTTAAATCGCACACTTTTAGCAAAACGTCCAAGTTGAATATGAGACAAGAAGATATTGCAAGAACGCATACGTGATAATGACATGGCAAACGGTGCCGTTTCGGAACGTGCAGTCGCAAGTGACGTTCCTGATGATCGCAGGGAATATAATGGTGTTATGAAATCCTTCTCCACTGTTTCAAGATCCCTGTGTGACATTCCAATTCACGTTTGTAAGTTTATCAGATATTGCCTGTAGAGCCTTCACTGCATCACCAAAACCAAGATTGAAGAAAGCTGTGAAATGCAAAATGCCTCAAGTGAAAGAGCAAACAAAAGCAGTAATGGAAGAAAGTACCTTCATGGTGGGGTATAAGTTGAGCATGTGATGGGAACTCTGTGCAGAAACAGAGAAGCAGAAATCCGAAGAAGAAAACAGAGACAGCTTTGGAGCTTGACATCTTAAACTCCATTAATTACCAGACCAGCGAATGAGAGTGAGTAAGTTTCAGATTTAGGATTAAGAGAAACTTTGGAATTCATAAATAGACGGAGAACTGAGAAGAGAGTGAATGACGATAGTATTTAGCAGCATGAATTTTGGCGCACGGCATGTTCCTTTATTTAGTTTTACTTTGAATAATTAATTCTAAAATAATAAAAGTGTTATTATGCGTGGACCCTAAACTTTAACCCTTAACTCATGTTTAATATATTTTAAATTTAAATAATTAAAGTTAAGGTAATTTCGTTTCCATCATTAATTAACAATTAACGTTCGTTTGTTCATGTTTGGTGGAACCCATATTTTTTATTTTTAGCTTTCACAAGCTTCTGACGCTCTCTCTATTCTCGTGTCTCATCACTGTCTCCCTTCTGCTCACTTTGAGTTGATTCATTTGGAAGTCAAAAATGGTGTCCTAGAACGTCCTTGTCACCTACTTGCCTGCCAAACCTTGTTCCAACTTCCAACGTTACGTCTGTCTAGCGCTTCCGCCTACCCCTTTCTTGCATTTGACTTCGTATCTCCTCCATTTCTCCCACTCGAAAACTAAGCTCTGCTGTAGGTCTTGTTTCATCTCTCTCTCTCTCTCTCTGTGGGTCTGCTTGTTTGTTTTCGATTGCGCTTATGAGATTGATACAGAATGTCCCAAGCAAGTAGTCGTTGTTCATCTAACGCGCGCGTTAGGAACAAGCAATTCCTCTGCAACAAGCTACAATATGTATTACTGGCTATCATTTTTGACATTGGTGGTGGTGGCGGATATGGTAGAGGAGAAGGAGCAAGCAGCGAATATGGCAGAGAAGGAGCTGGAGGAATAGGTGGAAGGCACGATGGATACGGAGTTGGAGGGGAGCATAGTGCTGGTTATGGAGGAGGAAGTAGTGGAGGCCATGGTGTTGGGGGAGAACATGGTGTCGATTATGGAGGCAGAGGCAGAGTAGAAAGTAGCAGAGGCTATAATGCTTGCTTGTTAGGAGTGTTCACAAAAAAAAAAAAAGAAGTTTGAAATCGGGACACCCTTATCCTCATGTTTCATCTTATAAAAAAAAAAAGTTAGGATTAAATTTTTATCTCCTTTCAAAAGTCATCCCATTTTATTAAAAATTGAGACAGGGTCGAGATAAAATTAGAATGTTTTGCTATTCCAATAAATTAGACAATGTTAGAAAAAGATCTAGCTAAGAATATTCATTAAAATTCTAAATCATATAATTTATTAAATTTAAAATTAAAGCAACATAAGTATATAAATCACAATAATTTAAAATCAATTATTGAATTACATTAATCACAACTACACATTATAATAATAATTGCAAGTGATTCCTAGGCTATAAGAGCATCAACAACAGATCAGTCAAACACAACATCAAATCATTATTCTTCTATTTTAGTTGAGATATGCTAAACTAATTACTCTTTTGAAAATAAAGCAAAAAATATAATATAAATAAAATTTATTAAATAGATATATATAAGAATAAATTATATTAATATAATTAATATATTATAAAAAAAGATATCGCCCTATTTACTCTATATCATTAAAATTATCGACATAAAATTTTTTAATTTTAAATACGAATTGCATGTATTGAAAATTAGTGCTATAACTAATATTAGTATAATTAATGTATTTAATACATATTTTTAAAATAAAAAATAATATATATAATATTTGGAACGGGACGTCCTAATGATAATCTCATGTCCCATCCTGTCTCGAATTCTTTTCCTGTCTCGTCTCGTAAAGCCTCGTTTTGATTATTTTTAGGTCGAAACAAGACTCATTTTAATATGATCAAGATGATATCAAATTAATTAAAATAGGTATAAGCTAAACACTCATAATGCTTGTTGGAGAACATGTTGCGAGTTATGGAGGTAGTGCAGACAAATCTGGATGCCAGTGGAAGATGGAAGGGGAGAGAGAGTAATAGAACTTGGATGGGCCCAACTGCAAGCTAAAGAAATGGATGTTAATTCTTGTTTAATTGTAAGGGTGAGACTGTCCCAAATTTTTTGTTCAAAGTTAAAAATGTTCAAAATTCAAATCACTCCTAAATTTATAATTTATAATCTAAATTACATAATAACTCATAAAAAATGATTGCTTTAGAAGATATAATAGTGGGGCCATTTGTTGTAGCTTATTTCATAAAAAAAATACTTATTTTTTGAAAAAAAATCTATTTTAAAAGTTTTTATGATATTTATTGAAAATTTTAAAAATAATCAAAATCTAAAAAAATATATTTTTGATTATTTGAAGAAGCTGCTTTGAGTAGCTTTTGAAACTAATTTAATATGGTAGATAAGAGAGAGCATTTCAAAGAGATAGGATACATAAAGATGTCATAAAATTTTAAAATAATATAATAATAAATTATTTTTATAAAATAAAAATCAAAGAAGATATTATAAAATTTAAAATAACTAACTAATAAATATTTTTTATTACTGTAACTAATAAAATAATGTCTACTTTTTATAAAATCTCTATAAAATAAATCTCTTTTTATAAAACCTCTAAACTATTTAAAAATTATTTATTTTTTAATTTTAAATAAATGAGGCCACTAGTATCTCTCTAGCTAGTATGGAATCAACTTGTTATGAAATATTCGCTCAAAATTAAGCTCTAAATGATTACTGTCTGATTCTGTATATGTTCATATTTTAACATTTAAATTTAGGATCAATGAAGAGTTTCCTTGAAATGCAATGATTACAACTGGAAGAGTGATTTTTTTATTACAAGAATTGTTTGTTAGATTAAATTTATTAAAAAAAATGAGCTGCCCATGTGGCATGTTTCTGCCAGCAGGAATGAGGTCAGCATGGAATAGTTAGTCAACGGAGAATATAGGCCCCGTTTGGTATGATTGAATAGTTTTTGATGGAATTGGAATTGGAATTGGAATCAGAATTGGAATAGAATTGAATTATAAAAGTACGTTTGGTATGTCAGAAAAATTAGATGGAATCCCTGCATTACTTTTGTTTGGTATGCAAGACATGGAAATGGAATTATACTTAAAAGACAAAAATACTCCTATATAAAAATTAAAATAAAACATAATAAAAACTTAATTGTGTATCAATTTTCTTATGTATTTTATATATTAATGAAATATTATATAAATCATAGATTATATTTGTAACTATTATTCATTAGCTTGGGCCAAACAAAAAGTTTTATCATCAGAGGAAACATTTTCTTGAAAATAAAATTGGCAATGGTTCCCATCCCTTCTACTTTAAAATAAATACACTAACACGTAGATTTAGAAAAAAAATGTCAAACAAATCAATTCTACTTCTTATACCAAAAAAATATTATAAATATATAAATTATATACAAATATTATATATAATACTATCTTATATATATATTATAACGTTTTATATATAATGAGCAAAAATATCATTCAACCTTTTATACTCCCTTTTTCCTTTTTTTGCTAGCATATGATAGCATTTTCTATTTTCATATTCAGTTTAGCAGGATCTCAAATCTAGACCAATATTGTTTCAACCATGCTTGAGAAATATAGACCTTGGGAGTTGAATTCATTCTATAACTCCATAAGAAATGATTGTGAATTTGAGTAGATCAGAAAAAAAAAAAGCTAGCAAATTAAACAGACTCATGAATTTGGCTAGAGAAAATGTAACTAGAAAGATTCATGCCTTTCCACCTCTTCCCATCACTAAGGATGAAGTTAACTATTTATCACATAAGTAGCATTTGTACAAAATGTCTGACTCAATTTTTTTGCCATATCTTCCAATGCACAATTTACCTACCATGGCAAAACCAAAAAATGAACTAAAGAAGTAGACTTGAGCACTTTACAATCAGACTTCCTATATATAAGGCAGCCACAACTATGTAATCAAAAAGGCTACCAACCATGACAGAGCCAAAAAAATATATCCATCATGGTTTACAATATAGACTTAGCTACACTATAATACCCAAAAAGAAGCAGCATATATGACTTACACATAACGCATTTATGCATAAAGTATTTTACGAACCACAGCTGCCTTAGCCTTATCTGGTAGGTTAGGAAATCCAACAAGAATTTTATCATCACCTATCATTTTAAGATATGCATCAGTGTGCTCATTGTCAGTAAGATCTTCAACCTTCAACAACTCATCATATAGAGCCTCTCTTCGTGCATCTAACATTGCTTCTCGAGCCAACTTGTCTAAACGAGCTCCTAATTGGGCAGAGGAATCCTTGATGTCTTGGGAAGTAGCTGCTAACATCTCTTTAAGTGCCTCAGTCAAAAACTCATCACGATCTTGACTAGTTCTTTTCCTTTTCTTAGACTTAGAAGTGCCAACATTTGTGTTTTCTGATGGATGGTCTGAGAATGTAATTGATGGATCCATCTCTAGTCCAATATCCACAGTATCTTCATCAACATTAGTAGCTATTGTATCAAACTCTGTATCAGCTTCAACCTCATGCACATCATTGCTTGAAAGTGACCCTTTTCCTACAGCTCTATCTTTTCCAAATATAGAGCATAGTGCATCAAAGAGAGGAAAGGGTTTGTTCTTGAAATGAGCAGCTTTTTTATGGCTCTACAAACACAAAATCACATAAAAATATCAACAGCTAGTAAGCTTACACATTCAAATCTGCATCAATATTTATTATAAGTATAAAAGCTGATATAAAAAATATTTTTCTAGTAAAGTTTTACCTTAACATACTCATCCCACACTTCCTTGTCTGCTGTGACACATTGTTTGTCGGGGTCCCAACCAAATCCAGATGTGTTTGAGCCATATAACATATCATATATGACCTGCCAACTAGTCTTCAAGGTCTTCAAACGAGATTGAATGTGAGGTACAGCTAGTATCTCGCATCCAGGTGACTTCTCCTCTATCATTCTTTGCAACTTCTTTAAACCTCCAGCCTTAAACCCATTATCTGCAACCAAGGTCCCATCATCACGAAGCTGAAGCAAGGATTGCACAAGAAGAGAGTCTTCCTCAGGTGTCCAAACATGATGGGTTGACTTTGTAGAATCGCCACCTGTCATGATCTTACTTAAACAGCAAAAATTATCATTAGTTTTAACATATCATAACACAATCAATTGCTATGAAGATAAAATATCATACATCACAATATTGCAAAGAAGGCAAACATCACTTAATAAAACCATTCATAATGTTGTCATTACACAAAACATACATCCACAAATTTTCAACTAGAATTCAAGTCACATCTAGATTTAGGTGTCTCTTCTAATGCTCACATACTACCCCTATGACTCATAAGTTCAACAAACATTTCATTTGCCAAGGTATCACGAAAGTTAGTCCATGCATTTGATGTCTCAATTGTTTGAATGTAAGGTATCTCCATATCATTGGTATTTGTCTCCAATGCCTCTATGTCAATATCCAGTGGATCATCTCCTTGTCGACGGATCAAATTATGAAGGAGACAACACGCTATGATAACCCGATTATGGACTTGAGCGGGGTAAAATGAAGGACTCCTAAGAATAGCCCATCGTAGTTTTAACATTCCGAAACATCATTCAATAACATTACGCGCAGATGAATGCCTCATGTTGAAGCATTCACGTGGAGTTAAAGGTTGCCGTCCATCCCTCCACTCACTTAAGTGGTATCGCTGACCTCGAAATGGGGCAAGAAATCCTTCACAATTTGCATACCCCGCATCAACCAAGTAATATTGGCCTACAAGAATAAAAGAAATTAACTTTAAGCTCATTACTACATTGATCATTACTAAAAAATAAATTAACATTACCTTGAGGCACTTTCAAACCATTCCTACGACTAATAGCATCTCGCAAAACTCTACCATCAGCAGCTGAGCCTTCCCAACCCGTTAAGACATATATGAATTGTCCATCCGGAGAGCAAACTCCCAACACATTAGTAGTTATTTCCCCCTTTCGATTTCTATATCTCGCTTTGTCAGCCATAGGCACCTTCACTTTAATATGGGTTCCATCAAGAGCACCTAAACAATGCTGAAAATGGCAAATAATTAATTAAAAGAACAAGTAAATTATATCATTAATAAAAGTTGTGAATTAAGATATGAGATTACCTTAAACCACCTCCATTTTTCGTCCATTGAATCCTCAGCAATTGGCTCAGGTTTCTTTAGAAGCTCTCGATTCAATTTCATCATAGAGGTTAAGACCAAATTAAAATACCTACTAATAGTTTCACTAGACCTCCCAAAATAAAATCGTATAACTCTATTTTTTAAATGATGTGCAAGGATATGCAAGAACATTGCCACTTGCTCATCAACTAGCATGTTTTTGGTTGGTTTCAAACCTCCTATAACATCAAGCATAAGACATAACTTGTCGAATGTAGCTCTATTCATTCTAAGCTGGTTATAACAAGTAATGTCACTGTTATACACCAAGTTCCGTAAGTGGACTCTATTAGCATAGAAGTCTACCGTATATGGCCTTTGACTAATACGATTCCTACGCAAGGCTATAGTGGTACAAATGGCAAAGAAACATTGATACATAGAGTGAAGAACATACATCCACCAAATCATCAAATGAACTATCACATCTCTCATTTCTGGATCCATAACTGTAGGTTATAAATTTTAAATATTAGGATAAAAAATTCTAAAACATCCAACAAATATCACTTTAATAGACTAGAAACAGTATAAAATTCTATTGGCAACAAAAACAGTATAAAATTCTAACATAAAACCCATATTTAATAGACTAGAAAATCATGAAACTCTAGTAAATCATCTTAAACTAAACACACATTGTGTCATACTAATTGTAAACAAGTTATAGATACAAAATCCACTAGTTATAGGCCTTTCAATATTAGATCCTGACCATGTGCAAGTAAGGAAAATAAACGGGAGAAACACTGAAATATGAGCTAGCCAAGTAAAGATAAACCAACAGTAGGTGGCAACAAAGTGGATAAGGGATCAAGAACAATTTGATTAGATGTATTGTACTTGAGATTGCGCTACAAAATTTTAGGGCAGTCCCATAATAAATATTACCAGAAACGGATTGCCCATTTGCAAAACCTAGTCAAAGAAAGAAGATGAAGGAGATTCAAAGATCAAAAATTTTCAGATAACTTTTGCCACAGAAGTAAACTCTCGTACACTACACTTTCTGGATGCATGGTTTTGTGACAGTCACACTGAAAGCAGTGGGAACCACCGAATATAAAAAAATTTGGGTGGTGGAGTTGAAGATGCCGACAATATAGGCATCGTGAAAATAAACAAGACGGTGAATTTGAATTACTGTGCATCATCTGTAACTGGAAATCCAGAATCAGAGGAACATGCGAATAGCTTCAAAGATGGTGATAAGGCATCATGGTGAAGCTAGTCTCCGGTGGATAAAATTAAACACAATCTTTTATTAGGACAGTCCCATAATAAATATTTTCTGAAACAACAGCCTACAGTAAGAAGTCATGAATACGGCAAAAACACAATCTTTTCCAGAATTCCAGAGGCTATGTCTCTTCCTTTCAATAAAATTCTCCGCCTTTCCAATCTTCTCCGCCTCCTTTCAAGCTCGTCATTCTCTATTCTCCTTTTTTTTAGTACTAATTAGTTTAATTTTCTTACCCAGAAAAAAACCTAGCTTAAACAGGGGAGGCGGCAAAAGGATATAAAATCACGAAAGAAAAAGAATGGAGGAGGGAAGTCGATTGCCATACCTTGGTCGCGAAATCCAAAATACCAGTCCAGACCGCGTCGTCCGTCGTCTGTCTCGTCTTCAATCTCGCCACAGCTCTCGCCTTCTCTCGTTCTGCAACAGCTCTCAGCTTTCTCTCCCTCTGTCGCGACCGAGCGTGAATGTGTGAGTGAGGTGAGGCCGTGAGGGTTTTATTTTTTTTTGAGGGCAAATTTGTCATTTTGAAATTTGTATGAGGGCAAAAGTGTCTTAAATATTACAATTCTATAGAATTGCTCCCAATTCCATAGATTTACATAAGGAATCCAATTCAGCTTTTTTTCATAGAATTAGGATTCCCAAGAATTACAATTCATATCTACCAAACATCACTTTATTCAGATTCCTATTTCAATTCTATTTCCATCTTCACAATTCTAACCTACCAAACATGGCCATAGGGATCGGAGGGCTCCCGTGAAATAATGAAAGTTTTTTCAATTTTTACCCCCCGGGGGGATCTTGCGCAGTAGTTGAGCCCAACGAGGTAGAAATTAGAAATTATACTTCAAAATTTTGAATCTTCCTTAATATTTAATTATATTTTAAATAATATTGTTTTTAATAAAATAATACCTATGTCCAAAAAAACATTACCGAGGCTTATCAAAAGAAAACCTACCTCGCTAAAGCTGCATGCCGTCATCGCCAACTACAAGGAGCATTTGAATATTTTAAAAAAAGTTATAATTTTATATTCATAATTAATTTTTATATATAATAAAAGCGTTTGAATATATTTTTTTATAAAATTATGATTTTTAACTCCAAAATTGATTGCTTTGGAGCATCCAAACATGCACAAGGTTGGAGGGATTAGATTTAGGCATTTGTGGTTTGGTAGAAGTATTTTGATAGAAATGAAAATTTCAAAAAAAATTAAATTTAAAAATATATTCGGTACTTGTTTTGGAAAAAAAATATAAGTTATTTTTTAAGAAATTAAATGTTAAAAAATATAAAATATTTTTAATATTTTGATATGTAATTAATATATTTTTTTATCAAAAGTATTCATAATAAATTTATTTATTTATATTTATTTTAAAATAAAATATTTTATTAAATAAGAATAAATATAAAAAAATAATATTAGTTTCAAAATAATTAACTATATTTCATTGAGTATGAGATTCAATTAAAAAATGCTTTATAATTTTTAAGGGTGGAGAGTATGAAGGAAATATTTAATGAAATCTTACATTTTATTGCGACTGATTTTGTTTTTCAAAGACATTTCTTAAAAACGCAATCTCTTACACATCAATTCCGTTAATTTAAGATTGTATCCCCGGAAGCTACTTTTAATAGAATAAGACAAATTACGTTACAATTACAAATTTTATTTAAAATATAAAGTAAAGAACATGCTCTCTTAACGTATTAAAAACAATCCACTTTAGTTGATCCACTTGTGTAGCTTAATGACTGGGTTATTAGAGTATTAGCTTTGGTATTATATATATTACAAATCAATTAAGAATCCATTTCAGCAATGACGGATCTAGGAGCCAGAGCTAGCAGGGTAGAATTATTTTTGGTGAGAACACAAATAATATATACTTGTAGCAAAATTTTGCCAATGTATATAACCATATAAACTAGTTATATTATATGCAGAAGAGTTGAAATTCCAACTCAAGCTACTTGTTTTAAATGATAATAAAAACCCCTACCTCAAAACATTAAATGACAAATTAAATATATAGAGATCAAAATTATTTTGAACTATATAAATGGCTTTAGTAAAAATCTAGAAAAAAAATTAAAAAATCAAATAAATAATTCCACTAAGAATATAAAAATTAAATGGTTTCAAAAACAAAAGTCTCAATAAATAAATAATCATTCATAATACTTAAATTATTCTAAAATATCAATACTCTCTCATATCCAGTTTCAAATTTTCATGATCTCAACCTCAACTTTTCTCTGCCCAATATTTTAAATTTAAAGTTCTAGATTTAATTATACTTTCTCTTTCTTTTCACAGATTTTGCATCTCAACCCCTTACGGCCTCATCTAAATTTTGGTGACTGTCACTTTATCTCTCTCTCTTTCTTTTCACAGATTTTGCATCTCAACCCCTTACGGCCTCATCTAAATTTTGGTGACTGTCACTTTATCTCTCTCTCTCTCTCTTCTTCTTCTTCTTCTTCTTATTCGGTATCACAGAATTGAAAGGGACAGTTTTGTTCATCCTCACATGCATATCAGTGTACCAACACGTATTGATTCTAACGAAAGCCTGTACTCATGGCATGAGACTTGTTTGACCCAAAACGAGAGAAAATTAAATGCTCGACTCTTGAGTTAGCATTAAATACCTAAAATAAAAATTACTAGTTGCCATGTGATAGTATGTTTTATTTTTGTTGGTGAACGTACCAGTGCTTCTTTAAGTAAGTAAGAATAATCGAATTAATGATTCTTCATAAAAAATTTTGAAAAATAAATTAAAAATACTAATTTAAATAATTACAAATTTTAAAGTTTCAATAATAGATATTTTTATTGGCGAAATCTTTATCATGACTTGTTAAATCTATAACATTACTTGTTAAAATCGTAATGTTATTTGTAAATTTATCAGTCCCTATTTAAATCTATAACTTGTTCAATGGTTGTATTAACTTGTAAAACCAATCACATTAATTTATTGTTAAAAGTCTTTTATTACTTGTTAATTCTCTAATGTTATCTGTTCAATCCATTATATTACTTGTTACTTACCTAACTATGAATCATTGCTTAACATGAGTTGATGTTCTAGCTGATAGAAGATTAAAAATCTTTTATTGCTTAACCTATTTTAAGTAGCATGGTCAAGTACAATCTAGTGTAAAATTTAAAGTGAAAAGTATTTTTCACAATATTTACAAGTTATTTTGGTGTTTTAACAAGTATGACATTCTGACATCACAAGTTCTCCAAAAATTTTCTAAGTCTAGTAATTTTTGACCAACCAACACAAGTTAATAGTTTTCCATTAATGTTATGAACTTAACAAGTCAAGTTATGAATTTAATAAGTCAGAGACTTTAAAAGTAGGGATAAATAGTAAAATAACAAAATTTTCATTTGAGGTTTTCGCATGCATGACATTTTCACGTCATGTAATTACGTACCACCAAAACAAGTTAAATAATTTAAAAGTAATGTTAGTGAGAAGCAAGGCCTGATAGGGATTTAATAATTAAATTTAGGGATTTATCAAGTAATATTGGAAATTTTACAAAAAAGGTTGAACGCTAAAATAACAAGTATTTCGCAAGTTCCCTCCTGACATTTTTCGAGTCTTGTAATTACTTACCAACACAGGTTAAATAATTAACCAGTATCCCAACCATAATGATAACTATGGCACAGGAAATTAAAAAGTTTCTATGTGTTAACAAGTGCCCTGTTATCATTGACAAGTGGAGTATAGTCGATTGTATTTAGGACATTGACAAGTGTAATTTAAGGGAGGGTTTTTTTGTAGATTTGTCTAATTGGGGGAATTTGTTTATCTGTGCAGGGTTAGTAAAACGGTAAATGAAAAACAAGGATAGACAAAGCCACATGTTTCAAGGATCAAGTTATGATATGAAACTACAACAATAACTTGTTATTTTAGTATGTATTACTTGTCAGATAGTTACTAATACTTGTCAATTTTCAAGTATCAACTTCTAATATGAAAATGCAAAATGGTTCATGAACTTGCATATTATATAGTTGTGGTTTAACTTAAATTTGATTTGTCATTGCGACATTAACACAATTTGTCAATTAACTAGATGTTAACTGTCATTTTTTGTTTAAAGTGAATAAAAAAGGAAAGATAATATTTTAATGAGTTCATTTTTTTAAAAAATGGATAAATTTGTTATAAAATTTTATTTGAGAATCATAAGAGAAAAAATAAAAAATGAACTAAAAAATTTCTACCCACAATTCTCTATTTTTCTAAAATTGAAGTTGCTAAAATTTAAAATATCACTTTCCAACCATTTTCTTTGATTCAAACAAATTATAAAAATCAATAGAAGTTCAATTATGAGTAAATATTTATTTGATAATTTTATAAAAATAAAAGTTTAGGGAAAATTTGAAATAACATTGTATATGTGCTTATAGATAAATAATTATAATAATAAAAATTAACTATAGGCTTTTATTTGCCTAGCATATTTGTGATTAAAAAATAGAAATAGACAATATATTAGTTTATCTTAAAATTTTTTATTCCATGTATAATCAAATATAGATAACAATTTATTATAATATATGAATTGTTCTATCCATGTAAATTAAAATTTTAAAACATATATCTTGTTTTTAAATTTTTTCTTTTAAATTGTGTAAACATCATATTTTAGTTTAGTATTGGCTATATGTAACGATAGGAGGATAAAAAATTGTTCCTTGTTAGGAGAGGTGCCCCATTTAATATTCAACTATACTTCGAATAGAATTATTTATAATAGAATGATACTTATTAGCCAAAATATATATATATATATATAAATTTATTTTATTCCTATACAAGTTATTTTAAAATATGACATCAAATGCATATAAAAAATATAAATATCTTTATATGTAATCTCCACATAAATTAAAATTTAAAAAATACATTGCAGTTAAAAAGTTATTACTTATAAATATAAATAACTACTTATTTTATTTAAGGATTTATTATCCTCATGCATATGAAAAATGTAATAACATAATTTTTTTATATGATTATCTAACTAAGTCAAATTTAAGTATTGTTCAGCATAATTTAAAGTAACTCTTCCAAAAATAATTTTTGCATCCACACAAATTTTTATTTTAGAATTTTTTACCTTTTCATCAACTTATTTTATTTTAAAACTTGTTGTTTTGTACATATTAAAAACATAAATGACATATTTTATAAACAAAATTTATCACCCTTGAAATTTGTTACTAAAATTTAAAATTTAAAAATTAAATTATAATGTACATAAACAAAGATTATGTTAAAGTACTATCATTCAATATAGATTATAACTCATTTTAATTTATAATTTATTACCTAATATATATTTAAAAATGGATGGTAAAATTTGCCGCAATA